ACAAGATCTGAGAGATTCTTGAGCCTTTGGAAAACATAGTCTAGTTATTTAGTTGGCATGTATTTCTTTGAAGGGATTAATTTTACTCTGGAGTACTGATAAGATGTTTTGATAGTAGGATTATCTCAGCCTTTTGGATGAATTATAAATAATCTTGTATCATTATCACAGGAATAAAATCTAGAAGGAAGAAAACCTGTTAAGCAACTGGTACAGATAAATGAGTAGTCAGTTCTGTTTTGTCAGCGCTATTGTTCTCTGTAGAAATATTGGAAACTGGGTAACATGACCATCATCCATTGGAGGAATGCTCAGCATTCCCTAACATTGGTGATAATATTTCTCTTAATTTTAAATTTAGATCCTTACTTAGTTTGGGATGACTAGAAAAATGAAAATCTTGTTCTCTTATCAGTGTCTGTAAGTGTCTTCAGAATGTGAGATGTGTGGTTACTTGTTCCCAGGGCCACCATTGTTTAACTGCTTCACCTTGATGTGCCGGGCGAGTGGGTTTGATGATAGGCCTCGTCTGTCACTGTGCTTTACTTAATTCTGATGATCTTGTTTTCCTGTCTTACTTTCTTGCCATGGTATATTTATGGTGCACACACATAGCCAGCAGAAATGTTTTTCTGTCTCACCATTATGATTCTATCTTCCATGAAAGGGAAGTGAGGCAGTTCAGGAAATAGGAAATTCTAGAGATTCTTAAGACAACTGTCAGAAAGTCTGAGAAACTGATTTTAGCTGTATATAAATTCGTTAGGGCTGCTAGCTCGTTTTTGTTAGAGGCAATACTGCCCTCTAGTGTCCAGAAGGCGATTCCAATTTGTAAATTCCTTGTTTAGTTTAGACTCTAGAAGCTCTTAGAAAAATAAATAATCGTTATTTAAGACTTGATTTAGTTTATTTGCTGGCATGAGATCATTGGATCAGTTAACTTGGGATTGTATTGGAATCAAGAATTTGTTTACTGCCTATCTCTCATATCTAAGGGGTTCTTTTTGATATTACTTTCCTCTGTTTATAAGGAAAGTGTTCCCTATCTTTAAACAATATAAAATATTGGATCATTGCCAACTTTTAAAATACTAAACCATTATTCTCTTTCCTTCACTTTTGTAACTGATGTGTCATTTTTCATTTCATTCTGGATACGAATCGTAATTTCTTTTGCCTGTGTTTTTTCTTCACAAGCACGCCTTTCATATAATGATAGAGGTAAGACGCATTGATGTTTGTTTTATGGTTGTGGAACTTTCTGTGGATGCATATTAAACATCTTGTCCTTAGATTTTTGTTGTTGTTATTGCTTTACTCTGCATCCTCTATAATTTATACATTTATGTCATAAAGGGTTCCCCCTCACCCAACTTGTATTATTAAAACATAATTGATTTGATTTAGTAGGACTAACAGTATTTATATTTATTTAAGGTAGGATGTGGAGAAAACTTTTACTTGATTAGAAGTTAACACTTTAATGGCTCCATTAGCCTCAAAAACCTTGTATTGGTTAATTTTTACAGTATGTCATTAGCTTAAGTGTCAGCATGTGTTCATTTTTAACAGGGGCTGACTTTCTAATCCAGCCCATTGTATTTAAATGTGAAATTGATATTTTTAGATAGTCTCATCTTTGGCATCTTTAGCAAATGAATTAGCTACAGGAGTATAACTTTTGATGATATTTTGCTATCTGATTTTCCCTTCAAATGGAGAATTCAGAATAAAGAAAATGATCACAGATGACTTTGTAGCTCCCCACCTCTAATAATTTATTTTACTGTTGGTTTTAGTATGATATTGGATAGTGGTTTGGGGGCAAGGGATTACTTTTTACAGGTTATCATTTCAGTATGTCTTCTCAATATAATGTCTTCTGATACCATAATTCTCATATAGAAATGAGTAAAGAAGAAATGTAATCAGAACCATGTTCTAATGCACATCTTTTTAGTTTTATCAAATAGCATGGATGTTGTAAGATAAATGGAAATTTAGAGAAAGTTTTTAGGAATTTTGAAATTTTTATAGTTGCCTCTGGCGCCCCCCCCCCCACCCCCCACCAATTGTTTTCTTTAGTAGCCAGGTAAAGTCATATTTTATGGATGACATCAGAAATTGCTTGTCATTTATGTCATTTATCTTCCCAGGGGCTCATATAAATTTTTATTTTTAGAATCAAGTATTGATTTTTTTTGTGGATAAATTACTATAATGATGCCAATTAATTAAAAATCATTTCTAATATTCTTAGATTATAGGATGAGTAAAACTTAGAGATGAATTTAAAGTTTCATTCTAGTAATTTTTTATTTAAAACGAATTAGAGATTTTATAATCTGTGCTACAGTTACTCATTTTTGAACCCAATCCTTTGAGTATTAAAAAATATTATTTAAAATTACATTGAAAAGCTCATATCATTGTTAAAGGTTTTGGCATTCTACAGCAGGCATCCCCAAACTATGGCCCGTGGGCTGCATGTGGCCCCCTGAGGCCATTTATCCGGCCCCCCGCCACACTTCAGGAAGGGGCACCTCTTTCACTGGTGGTCAGTGAGAGGAGCACAGTATGTGGCGGCCCTCCAACGGTCTGAGGGACAGTGAACTGGCCCCCTGTGTAAAAAGTCTGGGGACGCCTGTTCTACAGGAAGATCTTGTAGACCTTTTTCTCACCCTTTCAAAATTGGCCTGTATTCTTTTTACTTGAAGCTTTTATCTTTTAAGTAATTTTGACAACAATATTTTTTCTGGCTGTTACTATACAATATTGAATAAATTACAATAGGAGGGTAACTAAGGTTTCTTTCTGATATAATGGTATCTTAGAAACTTGTTAAACAGAGCCTTGGGAATGTATGGGAACTTGAAGTGTATGCATTTGGAAAACATTTAATGAATTTTTTTTTTCTAAATATAGATACTGAAAATTACTATGTTTTCTAAAATTAATGTTATGCTAAAATCATAGTTTGAAATGCTGACATATTCTTAATTGTGGATTAAATAATCTGTCTTAATTTGTAGATTTAATCATATTCATGTTGGTATCCTTTAGAACAGAGAATGAGTAATGTGTATATTAACTAGAGAGACATTACCAGTCATTGCACATAAAAGTTATTAAAAATCTTAATATTGTAATTTAGAGTTGTATTCCCTCTACCGAGTTATTTTTCCTCTTCAGCTTTTAACCACTTTCTGCATACTTTAGTTTTTGGCATCCCCTCTGCTTTGAAACATACCTCTCTACCTTTCTAACATTTTCTATTTAGTTTAAATATGTCTTTATGCAGTTACATAATAACTCTTTGCCCTTGAGGACTGAATGGTTTCTTTTCCTCTTGAAGAGTATTCAAGCTTTTTTCTCCTGTCTCCATTCTTATAAGTAGCCTGCTTCGATCAATAGAATCTCTCAGATAGAGCTGATCACTTGAAGAATGAGGGAAGGAAGGCATAGTTTTAATAAAAACCCTCTAGAGGTTCTTGTATCCCCTCCACTGAGAATTACACTTGAGAGCCCATGCTTCCTGTAAGATTTGTATGTGATCTCCTTGACCCGTCACTCTGCTAAACAGAAAGACTCTGGCTTTACGAACCTTTCATGTTTTGAATGTGGGAAGGACGAGTAACTTTGTAGACAAAAAAATGTCTGAGTTTGAAATGAGTCACAAGAAGTCTTCTGTTTTATCTTACTGTTTAAATAGGAATTCTAAAGTAATTTTATAAAGATGGTCTTATTTAGAAGAAGAAATTCCATGTTTTTTTCTGTATAACACCTTGCAATGTTTCTGTTGCTGAGGTTCTTTCTAATATATAGTAAACTTTAAAAACTCCTGAGTGGCACCAGTAAGCCGAGTGATGCCTAAAGAAGATACTATCTTTGAGACATTAGAAGAGATAAAGAGAAAGGCAGGGAGAGATGCATTGATCTGGGATGACATACCATTTCCAAGTGTCTGAGGTGCCACCCAGTGTCATCATATCAGTCGCTTTTGCCACAGAAATTTTAGTTCCTCCTCAGAATACTCATTATGCAGCCCTCTGAACCATTCTGTTGCTTTTCTCTGGAAGTTTTTCAGAAGGCTTTCTGCATCTTTCTTTAGTTGCAGATAGGGAACTGAGAGAATACTTTCAATGAAGGGTTGCATTCTGCTTTTATAGGGAGGATTCCCTTGTGATTTGTAGACTCTGTATTCCTATTTATATATATTATGTTTGCTCTATTTTTAATAAAACTATAGCAGTGTACTTTTCTTTTGTTTACCATATTCTGTTATCTACTATGATGACCACTTCTATTCTGGATTTTTTATTTGTATTTCTTTGCCAGTCAGTCAATTCCAGAACACAAATAATTTTTTATCTCAGATCAAAGGGATGAATTGTTAATATGTTGAAAATTAGAATGAATCAAACAGTTTGGTTAAAGAAATATTAACTGACATATTTCTGGTATGTGCTTTATATTTGATATACCTGTCTGCAACATGCTTAAAGAATGACTGCGGGTGTCTCTGAGATTAATGAAGAAAAATTTTAAACAGTCACTGGAAAAAGTAGTAGATGTTAAGGAGCAATTTTCACTTATATATAGCCATAATTTGCTGTTTCTGGCATTTTTCAAATCCTCTTCTATGGAAGTACAAACTGGATGAAACAAATGAAATATTTTTAGTATTCATAGTTCACAGAAAATCTTAGTGGGGAAAATTAGTGAGACTGGATCAGAAATATTTTAGATCTTTTTTCTTGCGCTACGATATAGCAATAATGCTGAATGTTATTATGAAAACTCTTAATTCGGGTTGCCTGCCTTGTGATCACTATAGGTAATTGGTAATCTAATTATGGCAAAATTGAAATGAATGTCATCCATATGTGTTAACTGTTTCTGTCAGTTGACTTTTCAGTATACTCACTTTTTTTCTCATTTTCAGAGTTGGTATATATCATGTTCTGCCTATTTATAGTAGTATTGTCATTTATCTATAGGATCCAGGACCACCCCCACCTTCTCCATTACTAGGTTTGAAGCCACTGCAGTTATTAGAAGTGAAAGCAAGGGGAAGATTTGGTTGTGTCTGGAAAGCCCAGTTGCTCAATGAATATGTGGCTGTCAAAATATTTCCAATACAGGTATGTTTATTGCAGTTTTGTCATCTTACATATATGCTTTATAGCTAGGTCATCATAACTCAGAAATTGTATAAAAACAGAAGCCATATGTTTCAAGATGGTTCTTTGTGATACTGGGAAAGCAGTTAGCTCTTTTAATGGCTGCCTTTGCATCTGAGAAATGGAATTATTAGTATCACAATCATTATGTTTGTCTGGACTGGTGGAATTAAAATAAATGAATGCATAGGAGATCTTTTGCCAATGAAAATTCTATAGAAATGTTAATAAAGATTCCAATAAACAAGTCTAATTGAGTGGTTAAATTTTGATATCCCCTTACATTGTCAGAAAAAGCAAACAGAGAAACAAAAGAGTGGTATGCTTTGTTTTAGAATTGCTAGTGGGAGGTATATTACTAGACTTGGATTTATTTTCATTCTACTTTGAGTGTTTAGTTTTTTGATGCATTTTCAGAGACAATCAAGACTTCAAATAATTGGTTTACTGTTGAATTGTTTTTCTTTGAATGGTTGGCTGGACTTCTCATAAAACTCTGATCTGATGCACCTCTGAGCTATTGTTTTGTTTTCTTCTGTTGGTGGTATAGATTTATGATGATTCTGTCTTCACTGCCTCTTGCTTGTATATCCTGGTGGCTCATGATATCTTTGGTACTGACATCTTGGCTGAATTTGGTGACACAGGCGCTACCACTACACTTAGAGAGTGGATCATTCCTTTTCCAAAGTTGTCATATCAGCAATTTCTTTGTCTTAATATGCCTAGATTTTAACCTTCTTACCTCCTTTAACGCCTGTCCAGGCTATGAACTGTATTACATAGAGTTTATGAACTGTATTACATTTTTTTTTGTAGTTGTAAACCACAGTTTAGTTTTCAGAGAAAAAGTGTATTCTGTTGTGCCAAGATTCATAAATAAGGGAAGAAATTATTTCCATGTGCAAGAAAGCATAAAGATCAGAGGAAAACATTTGGATGATAATAACTTAGCCCAACAACAGTAGCTAACATTTTAGTGAATGCTTTTATTGGGTCAGGTAGTGGTGCTTTACATACATGAATCCTCACTAATATGTTTATGTATGTCACTGACATGTACATAAAATGCAACATATGCTACAACAATTTTGTAAGACAGACACTGCAATGCCTGTTCTACTTAATGAGGACACTGAAGGATTATGTAACTTGCCAAAGGTTAGTGGGAGAGCCAGGATTTAAGTTTGGATGGTTTGGATTCAGAGGGTTTCTATGAGTTTCTAACCATTATGCCACAGTGTCCCTCACTATCATTGTCTTTTTGTAGTAAAAAAAAAAAAAAAAACACTAATCTTTTATAAGTAGGTATTTAGTAGGCATGGATTGCTTACAGGCATAAATGAACATATGGTGTCTTAAATTATTGCATTGCAAACTATGCCACTTGCTTTCTCATTGACTTTGCAGGGTATGCTAAACATTTTTTAAAAGGTTGTTCGATATTATGTTAGTCTTAGAAAAGAAATTTTCTGTTTTGAGGAAGTCATTCTACCGGTATTTCATCTTTTGGGGAGATTATTCTGAATAGTACCACAAGTAACTTCACAACATGATGAAATTACAATGTAATATTTGGCAATAACTTATAAGCAAATGTGTTGCCATCATAAGATACAGAATGTAGCATTTTGGATCAACTTCTATGTTTGTAAACTAGAGACACAGAAAAGTATGTTTTGAGGGAATGGACAGGGCAGGTCTTTAGGATGAATTCGTTAACCTATTGTCAGAGCTTTTTCTTATTACACAACAGAACAGAAATTTTTTTTCATCCTTTTTTGTTCTGTTTTGTTTTACTTTGGAACTTATTTGAGTAATCTCTTAGACATGGTTTATTTACTCATATTCTTTGTGTTCTTATTATTGTTTCCTTTTGACTCTAGGACAAACAGTCATGGCAAAATGAATATGAAGTCTACAGTTTGCCTGGAATGAAGCATGAGAACATATTACAGTTCATTGGTGCAGAAAAACGAGGCACCAGTGTTGATGTGGATCTTTGGCTAATCACAGCATTTCATGAAAAGGTAAAACTATTAACATTTTACTTTAGTAAAGTCTGGGTTGGCCTGCCTAGCTAATGTTGGCTATAAGTCCCTCAAAGTTATTTTTCTAGACATGTTATAGTTGATTAATATTTAACCTGAAAATAAAATAATTCTTGAATAAAAGTCTGTTTTAAAAGGTAGTTCATTATAATAAAAGAGCGAAGATAGCAACTTTTAAAAAAATTTTTTATTTTAAAAAATATGGAACACTTCACAAATTTGCATGTCATCCTTGCGCAGGGGCCATGCTAATCTTCTCTGTATCGTTCCAGTTTTAGTATATGTGCTGCCGAAGCAAGCACGATGAACACTCTACTCATATAAACCACCCTTTTGTCCCTTATTTCTTGTGCTGTAATTACTCTTACAAACATTTATGTTAGTATAGATAATGCTTAGTAATTTTCATTTACCATTTACAATTCATTTTGATTACATGAACCTTTTTTTTTTTTTTTTTTTTTTTTTCATTTTTAATCAGTCTTGTTTAGGGACAAAACCAGAGTCAGGAGATTTATCTGATCCTTGAACTGTCAGAGCTAGTGCGAAAGTACCAATAGTGAAGTAGGAAATTATGTTTTTGGTAATTGGTTTCATCATTGTGAAATATAAATTTTTTTTTTACTTCAGTTAATTCTTGACCTCTAAAGGATGACAGTAATCTCTAAAGGAATATTCTATATATTAGTTGTTGTTTTTATGTTGTAATTTTGTGTTCTCCTAGTTCCATGATGTAACATTTCTATAGTCACGATATTTCAATTTTTAAAATATTTTCTAGAACTTTAGATTTTTCCACTAGTCTTCAAAAAAAAAAAAAACTTGTCTTATAGATTGGTGGAAATTGACTATTCTTGTAACAAATCTTTAAGGCTCAGTGGTATTTCTTTCTGGTCAAAGGTTTATTAATGTGAAATAGAAGGAACTTTGAACCATTCCAGAAAGATTGTTTCTTGGATATAATTTTCCCTGAAAGGAAAGATATACTGCCTTCCATAACCTCCTATAGGTAAAAAGAAACGTCTCCTTATACATATGGCCTTTGTCCAGAACATAAGTTTCTTTTTTTCCCTCTTTTCTTTAGGGTTCACTGTCAGACTTTCTTAAGGCTAATGTGGTCTCTTGGAATGAACTGTGTCATATTGCAGAAACCATGGCTAGAGGATTGGCATATTTACATGAGGATATACCTGGCCTAAAAGATGGCCACAAACCTGCCATATCTCACAGGTAGACAAATGTTGTTTTCCCAGATAATTGAGTATATATTTACTAAACTTTTAAGCCCCTGGGTAAATTTTAATTTTCTCCTTGTTATGCAGCAGTCATGCTTTACAAGACAGTTGATTTTCATTTCTTTTTTAAAATTTGCCTTGAGATTGGCCAGGAAGTATTTTTTATAATATATATGTTAACATCATTGGTAAAGTTTGATGATCTACCTCATCTCATTTCTGAAAGCATGGTTGAAAATAAATTGTATTTCCTCTATCTTATAAATTATATTATCTCTGTAAGGAAAAAGACATTTGTTTTAACTCAAAACATGATTTACTAGGGATTGTTATACAAGGGCATGTAATGAAGGAGAGACTTTGAATGTCTTCCTTGATTGTTTTTTGAATCACCTTATTATCTTTAGCCAAGATAGAGAGAGGCATCACTTCAACAATTGTCCAGCGAAGACATAGTACTTAGACACAACAGTTTTCATGCCCATAAAAGGAAAAATGATTGTTTTTTAAACATGGAATTCACTTTTCCATGTATTTAATTTTCTTGAACATGGGATTCAATTTGTTATCTCGTGTTCACTTTAAAGGTGGTTGTTTTAAAAGTAGGCATTAACTGAATCCCGGAACAGATACTTAGTTCAGTGCTACCAGGTGATGTTTTAGGTTGCTGGGGGGCATTATTGTAAGTCAACCTCTAATTTAGGTTCTGATTTCGCAAACTTTAAATGACATCTACCTCAGAAATAACTCTTCTTCTCACTCTCTTACATGCAGTCTAATGGCCTCTTCTTGGATTCTCCCTTGCCCTACCTGGCCACACAGGGAATTAATTCTTAAGAACTCCCCAAGTTATTAGGAAAAGGGCCTGAAAGTCTTTTGAAGCTAAGACCGATTGGCTTTTATGGCATTTGGGAGTGTCTCCTTGTGCTTTCAATATCCCATTCGTGGTCTATGGGTCTGTACATAAATTTAACCACTAGTCATGGCATAGTCACTCATATATTTAACTAGGGTATAGTAGTCTCTAGGATAAGCCAGTTGAGACAGGTGTGTAGAATAGGATATGTTACTGCCTTAGTACTGTTACCCCTTTCAGAACACCAGGATCTAGCTAGAGCAGTGTCTGTGTATGGTAAAAAGATTGTGTCTGTTATGCATTCCATAAGATACTTTTCTACAGCCAGGTGGAAGAATATAAGAACCTCTATAATAAAACTGCCTTATGGGTAGGTTTCCTTCTTATTGTTCGTATTGTGAATAGGAGTTTTGTCACTGTACTCTTGTGTTTAAGGGTACATGGGGGCTCTGAGCTTTTTCTCTCCCCCTTTCTCTGCATTTCATAGTTTTAATAAACTTTTTTCATAGTATATATATTCCCCCCTTTTCCACTTTCAATAAAAAAATTTAAAAAGATAACTTGTTTAAACTTAATTTGAATACTCTTTTTATTTGCAAGGGACATCAAAAGTAAAAATGTGCTGTTGAAAAACAACCTGACAGCTTGCATTGCTGACTTTGGGTTGGCCTTAAAATTTGAGGCTGGCAAGTCTGCAGGTGATACCCACGGACAGGTAAGGATGATGATTATGAAATGTAAGAAAAAATAAACTTGTTCTATATTTTCTTAAAATGACATGTCAGGACTGAATTAGTCCAAAATTGTTGTGGTGTTTAAATCAGCATCTAATCGAGTCATATCTTTAAGTTTCTCAGGAAGAAATTTTCATATGGTTGTAGAGGACTCAGGTGGTTTAGATCAAGCACTTCATAAAATAATCCCTAGACACATGTCATAGGATTCTTTTTGAAAAATTGATCAAAGAATAATCCAGCACCTTTTAATAGACCTCATTCTTAGGGATTTCTTTATATTATCTCAGTAGTTTTAGTCTGTTAATTTTTTCACCAGCTTAACAAGAGCAGAAGGATAATTAGTCACTGTCCTTACTACAGTGTATTAAGATTCCCTGTCCATTTTCCCATGCAGTAATAGTTTCTTGCTTCTTGTTGTTTATTGCTTCATTAACCCTTTAATCAGCTTGATGGCTTTTCTCCAGATTCTCTCCAGGGTTCAGAACCATTGTAAACCCCTGAATTAGGTGTGTAACTCTTCACACCTCTGTGCACTTCTATGTGCACTGAGATCTTAGTAATGGGAACATTTATGAAGGCCAAAAGGGAAAAGAACATTATCTGTACATTTTCTTTTCAGAAACTTTGACATTGGAACAAGATCAACTTTTGTTTATTTTTATTTATTTATTTATTTTTGAGACTGTGTCTTGCTCTGTCACTCAGGCCGGAGTACAGTGACATGATGTTGGCTCACTGTAACCTCCACCTCCCAATTTCAAGTGATTCTCCTGCCTCAGCTTCCTGAGTAGCTGGAATTACAGGAATGCACCACCATGCTTAGCTAATGTTTGTGTTTTTAGTAGAGATGGGGTTTCACCAAGTTGGTCAGGCTTGTATCAAACTCCTGACTTCAGGTGATACGCTTACCTCGGTCCCCCAAAGTGCTGGGATTATAGGCGTGAGCCACTGCTCCTGGCCAAGGTCACCTTTTAATCAGGGAAACCAGTTCAGCCTAAAAGATGACATTTTCTACAAAGCTAAATGATTCAGGCCGTTGGCATTATCATTTCTTCATCTTTCATGTCATGTAAATTTTTGGCCAACTAATTAGTAGCTTTCGTTTCCCCAGCGTATCCTATTAGTTCTTGAGGACATGGTTTTAAACAATCATGGCACAACAAATTTTGGCAGTACTGACTAATGGTTTAAGAATTTAGTTTGGGGTAATGGTCAGTAGCCATATAGCTCTAGAAAAGTCGACTGCAAATGTATATGGGAATTGAGGCAATTTTGTGGAGAATACTACCAAGATTGTGTAGGAAGCCTGAGGACAAATTTCTAAGCTAATTGAATGATTGACTCTCGTAAGACTAAAATTCTGGGAACATGGTCTTAATTTGGTACCTCATAAGCCATCCCTCCTCTATTTTTTGAGAAAAAAATTTGACTCATTCACTGTCATATTTTAACTCCTTCACAATTGGATTCTGTGATGAGTTAAAAATTAATTGCTTATGGCAGATGACTCATTGACTTTAGATTTCATGGACCAGAAAATTTCAAAACTGTTTGGAGGGACTTGCATGTTATTGCACATTTTATATAGTAGAAAGAAAGAACGCATATAAAAGAGGCGACATTTTATGTCAACATGGTAGATAAACCAATAATCTTATAATAAAAAAGGTAGGTACTTTGGATGGCATAGATTTATCTTTAACAGAAAAGTAGGCTTTAGGGAAACACTCACTGACAGTCCAATTAAAATATTCAGAGTAGTAAATTTTTAAAAAGTAGAGTTACTTTTTACCTTTAATGTATTCTCCTTGAACTTTAGTCTTAGTGATCTGTTTTTATTCTTAAAAAATTCTCCGTTGCATGTATATTTGCATAAATTGCCCAACTTTTAGTCTAGAGTAGAGATTATAGCCACCTAAGGATGGAGCTTTATGGGCGTACCAATATCTAGACTACTCTCTAGTCCTAATACATCACAAGTGTGTTGTGATGTACCCAGCTATCTCACAAATATTATTAAGCATTTATATATGAATGTTGTTAAGCACCAACCAAAGCTAGCTGTACTAGCTTAGTAACCATAGTTACAGCACTAAGAAATACCAAATTGTTGGGGACAGATACAAATAAAGGACTCCAAGACAGAAGAATTCATGATAAACAAATACATAGATTTTGTACAAATAGAACTTTTTAACATCAATGTGCCCTTTACTTGGCTAATGATTTTTACAACATTTTATTAGTTTTTCTTAAACACAGAGAAAAGACCTCAAAGTTTTTTTTTTTTTTTTTTTTAATCTACATTTCAAACAGTATGCAAAGGTACAATTGAAAAGTATGCAGCGGCCTTCTCCCAGCTAACAGTCAGTTCAGTTTTTTGTAATTACACCTAGAAAGGGGAACAAAAAAAACTTCCAAGTCTGTACTAGCATAATGTCTGTTGATATATTTTTTAAGTATAAACAGAAAGGAACTTACTATTTATATACTATAGGCTGGTATACTTACCCTGGTAATAGACCATATTTGGTTTTGATTCTTTTAAAATCATACAGTGTTAGTTCATAAAGTTAATGAATGAGTGCTCTTTGCTTTTAACATCTTTTTCAGGTTGGTACCCGAAGGTATATGGCTCCAGAGGTATTAGAGGGTGCTATAAACTTCCAAAGGGATGCATTTTTGAGGATAGATATGTACGCCATGGGATTAGTCCTGTGGGAACTGGCTTCTCGCTGTACTGCTGCAGACGGTAAGGGAAAAAATAATTTTAAAAAAGATATATATGCCTGCCACACATGTATGAAAAGAGATGATACATTCAAAGGTAATATTTTAAAGTACAGTTTTTTGTTTTTTGTTTTTTTTTAAATAGATTCCAGGAGGTGGTAGAGAATTCAGGAGGCAGGTGTATTGATCCTTTACCATTACTAGCTGTGTTGCTGGACACTTCACATACCTTGAGATTATTTCCTAAAACAGCTTCAGAGGTAGATATTACACTTTAAAGATGAGGACACTGAGATGCAGAAAAATTAAGTAGTTTGACTACTTTAGCCTCAAGCTGGTGAATGGTGAAGCCTAGATTTGGAACTCTGATCCATACATAGTGTGATGTCTGCTTTGGTAAGGTTGACTTCAGTAACAACACAGAACTGTTTAACCTGCCTCTTAGGTTAGGGTTTCTATTCTGTGTTCTTACTGAAGTCCAAGTCTTACAGATGTTTGCTTTATTTATTTATTTATTTGCTTTTATTTTTTTTTATTTTTTTGGTTTAAAAAAAAAACAAAAAACTTGTTGACTGTTACTCCCAAACAGATGTGAATCAGCTTGATCTGTTTCTCAAATTTTAATTTATAGTTGCCTAAAAACTTCCCTTGATTGTCAAAGACCATAGAAGAAATTGTGAATATTTTATAAGTTATATAAACAATGTAACCTGTGTTACTAAGAATATTTTATTTTCTGAGTACTGTAATAGGCTCTCATTGTAGGACAGACTGCCACCTGAATATAAAATTCAATATGGGGCACTGTACTTTTAAAGGGAATTTAATAGGGTGCTCAGAAATGGGCACTCTATAGGGATTCTTCTAGGATTGAGGGATTGGCTTGGGAGTCAATCGCAAACCTAAGAAAGGTTGAAGCAATTTGGGAATAATTTTAGAACTCTTCAGGAAGAAGAATAAGAATTCATAGTATTTTCTACAAAAAATTAGCTGGGCATGGTGGCACGTGCCTGTAATCCCAGGTACTCAGGAGGCTGAGGCAGGAGAAATTGCCTGAACCCAGGAGGCGGAGTTTGCAGGTGAGCCGAGATCGCGCCATTGCACTCCAGCCTGGGTAACAAGAGCGAAACTCCATCTCAAAAAAAAAAAAAAAAGAATTCATAGTATTTTCACTCAAAGTGGATAAAGAATTACATTTATTATGTGTATTTATGGAAGAAGTAGGTTAGATGGCAGATGTCATAGGAAAACATATTTTATAAGAACTTTATTAATATGAACTCTCCATAGCAAATCATTGGATTAGGTAATTTATTAGAAGACCCTGTTCTCAAGTAATACACACGTTAGTTACGGCAATAAAGTATATCCTGGACAATTAACTCTGGAGTAAGTCAAGTTTGCATTGTCTAGCCCAGTACACAGGTATTTAGTAAATGTTTTTGGATGAGTGCAGTACCTAAGAAATATAAGCATATGTTTTAGGAATTTAGGGGAGAAATTGCTTTGTTTTTGGGGAAAAGGAGTTATCAGAGAAGTTCTTTTGGAAAAAGAAAAGGCTAGAGACTTTTCTTATATGCCTTGTATATATCATGAAATAATTTCAGTCAGGCATTTCTTACTCGTAAGTCAGAACCCAACTCTTATGTCAGAAATTGGGGTAGAAAGGACAGTATGAGCATTGATTGCTAAAGTAGGTTATTTCAGATTTGTTGATGGCTACTTATTTGTTAAATGAAGTTATTCTAAAATTTCAATGTGCATACCAGATTCTTAGGAATCTTGTTAAAATTTACATTCTGACTCAGTAAGTCTGGATTGAAACCTGTGATTCTACATTTGCTTAAAGCTAAGCTACCAGTTGATGGCAATGTTGCTGGCCTGTAGACCACATAAGTGTTAAATAGACACCTTAGAATGTCAGTACTCTGTCATTGGAAGTGCTCAAGCAGAGACCAACTGTCCAGCCATAAAGAATTCTTGTATTTGAAGAGGGTTAAGTTAGATGACCCCTTCATGGTTCATCATATTCTATTCAGGAGTATTTAGTGCATTTCAAGAGCTTCACAAGGTTTGTGTTTATGTACACATACATCTGGTCACTGATATTGCTCAGTGGTGACCTGTGTCTGTATGTCTTTGTGCAAATTATGTAACTTTCCTGAGCTTATCTGTAAATAGAGGTAGTGCCATCTTAACCCTGTGAAGTAAGTAATACATGTAAAGTTCCTAATCAGGATAGTTGCTCACTGGATATTAGTTATTAACTCCTAAATATATTTTTCTATTTATCTGAGTAGGCCTAAGAAGAAAGGAATTATTTATGTTGTTTAATAAATCTTTTCTGTGACTTGTTGGGACCCCTAATTGAAGAGCCTGTTCGTGATTTTCTAAAAAATAAACACGTACTTTTTAGCAGCTGTTGTGGGGGGAGTGTAGAGAAGAGGTGCACTCTGAGGTGCATAATTCCTTATGTGGGGCATGCAGAGGGTTTGGATATGTCCTAGAATAAACATGGATGTAATAGATTGAACCCAGAGCCTCCAGAGTTGGAAGCACCACTGTTAACATTCTGATCTGAATTGTAAGGATTGGGTACCTTAAAGGGATATTACATAACTTTGATTTACAAATACTGATTGTTCCTTATGTCCTATCTGCAGATGGAAGTAGGCATTCTTTATACCTGGATAAGAAAGCTCCTTATGCAGTTTTTAAGGGAGTTAGTTACATGTCAAATTATAGACCTTTTCATTTCCCATATATTAGTTTGGTCACACTATGGTATAAGTACAGTTGAGAATCTGTTTCTCCTCTCTCCTCATAGCATGTAAATGATTGGGAAAAGGTGACAGTATATTTTAGAAAGTTTGTACCAGTTTGAAAGTCAGGAAGATTTTAATGAAAATGATTTATTTTTCTTTTCTTACATTTCAGGACCTGTAGATGAATACATGTTGCCATTTGAGGAGGAAATTGGCCAGCATCCATCTCTTGAAGACATGCAGGAAGTTGTTGTGCATAAAAAAAAGAGGCCTGTTTTAAGAGATTATTGGCAGAAACATGCTGTAAGTTATCCAGTTAGCTTTTCATTTAAAATTCCAATGAAACATTTTTCAGAGGAATTATTTATCTCTGCACATTTCTCTTTCTTCTGCAAGTATTTTCTGGGAGGTGATCTTCACACAGGATATTCTAGAATTCTAGAGGCAGTGATTGTAAAGTTATAAAGCTTTAGAGAGTTCAGTGGTCCTGTGTCTCAATGGTCTTTTGTCTCAATGGTCCTGTGCAGAAGAGTGTGTCATTTATTTAGAAAGTCTCCCAGGGAAGAAAAGGCATGCCTGACTCAGAACCTGTGGTTAGGTGGCTATAACTTTGCTGATCACCACTTCCAATATGATGCCATTTTAAAAAGTTTATGAAGCACCAGGTTTTCTCCTTCTGTGGGAGTTTGTTGTAGCCTTTTAATTTGGGCTTAGAAGACTTTCATGTCTTAAGAATGCTTTAAAACCAAAGACCAGACACAACAGTATTGCCCTGGTTTTTTTGTTTTTGTTTTTGTTTTGGTCTAAATATAACTAGAAACATGGCTAAAACCAGGTAGAGAAATCTCAAGGGTGATTTTTTAATCTTCTGTTGAATTGTAAGATAGAAATGCTGATGATATTAAGAAAACAATAAAAATTGGTAGTTCCCCCTTTATCCTTGATTTTTGAGTCCAGTTGAAAGGTTAACATTGAAATAACCTGGTTTATGAATTTTAAAAAATCCTGTTGTGATAGTCTTATGCTTTAAAAAGAAAGGTTCTCTTTGTGCTTTTCTTCATGATTCTGCACGTGGTATTCAATAAAAGTGATCGTTGACAGAAACTTCTTTGACCCAGAAAAATAGCAATTTCTTTATGAAAATTTTATTCTATTTCCTAATAGAAAACAAAAATTGCTGTGGCTCTTGAGTATGTTTTTCTCCTTTTAGGGAATGGCAATGCTCTGTGAAACCATTGAAGAATGTTGGGATCACGACGCAGAAGCCCGGTTATCAGCTGGATGTGTAGGTGAAAGAATTACCCAGATGCAGAGACTAACAAATATTATTACCACAGAGGACATTGTAACAGTGGTCACAATGGTGACAAATGTTGACTTTCCTCCCAAAGAATCTAGTCTATGATGGTTGCGCCATCTGTGCACACTAAGAAATGGGACTCTGAACTGGAGCTGCTAAGCTAACGAAACTGCTTACAGTTTATTTTCTGTGTAAAATGAGTGGATGTCTCTTGGAAATATTAAGAAAGAAGATTCTTTGTTGAAAAATGTTGCTCTGGGAGACCTATTACATTGCCGACAGCACAGATGTGAAGGACATGAGACTAAGAGAAAACTTGCAAACTCTATAAAGAAACTTTTGAAAAAGTGTACATGAAGAATGTAGCCCTCTCCAAATCAAGGATCTTTTGGACCTGGCTAATGGAGTGTTTGAAAACTGACATCAGATTCTTAATGTCTGTCAGAAGACACTAATTCCTTAAATGAACTACTGCTATTTTTTTTAAATCGAAAACTTTTCATTTCAGATTTTAAAAAGGGTAACTTGTTTTTATTGCATTTGCTGTTGTTGTTTCTATAAATGACTATTGTAATGCCAATATGACACAGCTTGTGAATGTTTAGTGTGCTGCTGTTCTGTGTACATAAAGTCATCAAAGTGGGGTACAGTAAAGAGGCTTCCAAGCATTACTTTAACCTCCCTCAACAAGGTATACCTCAGTTCCACGGTTGCTAAATTATAAAATTGAAAACACTAACAAAATTTGAATAATAAATTGATCCATGTTTTGTAACAAATTCACTGTGTTATTTAAGGAAAAAAAGGTAAGCTATGCTTAGTGCCAATAGTAAGTGGCCATTCGTAAAGCAGTGTTTTAGCATTTCTTGTGCTGGCTTGTAGGGAAAAAAGTGCTGTTTTTTGAAAAGATGGTGTCATTTTCTCCTTCTTCCCATGTTTTAAAGCCCCATCTTATATCCAGTTCCCAAAATTTACATACTTACCTAAGTATTTTCTTTAGGTGTGCTGTGTTTGGGGAATATTTGAAAATTTAAAGCATGATTTAAAAATTTTTTAAGTGAGCTGTGACACTGGAAAGCTCTTCATTTTATCTTTTAAAATAGAGTTTTTTCTATTTATATATGTAAAATTGTAGTGTATTTCTTTTCACCAAACAGTGTGTGGGACATTCTTTATCACTGTTTTAGGATCACCTCAGGAAGTGTTGTTACCCAGAATTCCTCACTGTCTGCTTTGAGACTTGTAACTTTATCACTACTTCTGCTTGGTGCCATCTTGTCAGTCATATTTAATGTCTGTGATATGTAAAGAATTATCCTAGGATAGAGATATTAAACTTTAAGCAGATTTCAGATGTTACTGCTTTAAAACAAATCAGGGATAACAAATTAAATGTATAACTTAAAATATGCAATGACATTTAGAGGTAACCAATGTTGATACAGATAACATAGCCTAGCCACCTTCCCAAAATTGCTTTTACAACTAACACTGACATTAATTTAGAATAGTTCATGCCTTATCCTTGCTAAGCAAATGGAATTGATGGTAGGCAGGTGCCAAAGTGCTTTTCAAAACAATATTATGTTAGAATACAATTGGATTCTTCCTCAGATTTATGTAGGCCAAAGTAATACATTAATTTCCTCAATTTCCAGATTACCAATCAACAAATAACCAGTATTATGCTATGTATTTCTGTCAGGTCATTTTAAAATCCATACACTAATTTTATAAAAGAATTTTTTACATGTCACTGTCAGGAGTTCACTGTGAATGTGTTGTCTTCAAATGGTTATTTAACCACATATTACACTACATTTTACATATAATATGTACCTAATCTCTGGGAATAATAAATTATGTTATTTATAAACAATACATAGGTCAACAGACTTTAAGCAGGGAGGAAAAGAAGCGTAATAGTGTCTGTGTGCCGCAGACCATTTAGAACTGTCACATGTGTCCCCATGGTCTCATTGTATTCCTAACAATTGCCTTTTCAATGTTGAGTTCACCTCTTTATTTCACAAAGTACTTGGTCTCTCAGTTTCTTGATCTGGTTTTTGCTTCCATTTAAAAACTAATCAAGAAGGGAAAACACTGAGATTGTGCATACAAGAAAATTGTTAATTTCCTGAAGATGAATTTCTACCTGTTGTGAACATTTAACTTTCTTTTTAAAAGTTAAAAATAATCAAAACAAAAATAAACAAGGGATACTATGATGAATGTTTGGCTTACGTGAGTACTAGAGATAACATTTTTTAAAACTAGTTATTGACAATATAAAATGTTTTCACGTTAGAAAAAATTTTTAGAAATCCTGGGTATTGTACTTAATTGTAGCTAACCAATTTTAAAACTTGTATTCTTTTGAGAACTATTAATAGAAAAACTTTTTATAAGCAGTAAAATAAGAATGTTCCAGTGACTACCTATCCTTATACCTAGTCTTGTTAAAACTTTCTTTTGCAGGGTATTTAGTGTTTGGTTTACAGTCAGTGCAGAGTGGGCAAGTTAATAAAATGTTTGAACTAGAGATACTGGAAAAAAAGAAAAATCAAAGAATGAGAAAAATGGTGATCCATTTTGGGGCAGTCTGAGACCCCTCAAATTACTCTTTCCTCATGTGTATGGTGCTCCTCATGACTCGTCTTGTATTTTGCCTTTCTGATACCCATCAGAACTGCTGCTGCTCTAACTTATATTCTTTACCTTGCCCAGATCTCCGCATAAGGAATGCTTTATGATCAACTTGCCGTAGGACTGATGGATTAACGAGTGTTCGGCTTTATTTGAAGTCTATGCCCTGCACAGCTCTTGTATGTATTTTAGATGCTAGAAGTTTTTTTTAGCATGTGATGTGTGATTCTTGTTTGAATTCTAGGTACCTTGTGAATTTCAGAAAAGAGACTGTGCCTCATGATTATTAGTCCCATGAACTTGCACTATCTTTCATGGTGATATTTTGAAAATACAATCAGGAAAAAAACCAACACCTTTGGAATTAAAAAATAGAATCTCATCATGAAATTTAGAAAGAATCTCTTCTGTTGTGTTTCCTCACCCCTAAGTAACAGCTACATTTAAGTAAAATGCAGGTGGTAGGGAAAAAAACCTTGGCCAGATGGTTGTTTAGTGGAAAAAACTGATTACTGGTGGGTATTTTTTTTTTTTTTTTAAAGAAAGAAGCTTCATCACAGATACTTTCCAGTTTCTCTTTTTTACGTTTTTGAAAAATTACTTTTTAGGAACATTTGGTATGATGTGCATAAAACTATCAATTTATAGTCAAAATGATACAAGTAGCATCTTGATTGAACATCATTTACCTCAGATATTCAACCAGCAGTACGTTTTTTATGCAGTCTCAACCCATATCCCATTTTGTTACCTCTCAGAATATTGGTAAGCAGTTACTTTCGCTTTACTCTGTATTTCTTATGTTTTGGGCACAGGTTATTGTACTACTGTCAAATCGTACTTGCTATTTTTTTCTGCAAGTATTTAACAGAAAGCTTAATATTCCCATAAAACCCCACCTTGGATAAATGATTGTTAAATATTGTACAAATAAAGTGTATGCTATTCCCATTCCATCCCCAAGTTAAATAAAAAAATGAATATGGTATTATTTGCATATGCAGTTTTTCTTTAGCTATGTGTTCTTAAAGAGGAGAATAGTAGCTTTGTAAGTTACAGTGAGGTTTACACCTTGAGAACTGCAGGAATGAGGATAGTGGTGAGTGAAGGGAGATTTGTTAATTATGGCATTTCCCTCTATTGTCATCTAAACAAATTATATTCCCACTCAAGTATGTGTGTTGGTTTTGCCAGTATCAGGAAGCCGGAGGCTTGCTGGCATTGTGTCACACAGCACACACCAGTTGATTCTCAGGTTTTCTAGGGTAAAGGTGAAGGAAGGGGCAGCACTTAGGTTAGAAACTGAATTGCTTTCTAAACCAAATGAGAATGAAAAACATGGGGAAATATGCATGGATACTCTACAGAAAGACTGAAGTGTTTCTTACAGTGTTTTCTCCGAAACAGTAATTCATTAGGACATTAATAGGTATTACATTTTCAACATAGATAGCGTTATGATATAGTAAGTTTGGACAAAACAGGTATTAATTCCCCAGAGCCTTTCACATGCATGAGAATCAGTGTTTAAAACAAGAGTTTTGCTTCTGGTGGGCCACTTGGAGGGAACACAGGTGTAAAAACACACTGAAATATTCCTCCTTCACCTGCTTTTCAATCTGATTACTTCAGATTGGTAAGCAGCTATTTTTGCTTAACTCTGTATTTCTTGTGTGTTGGGCACAGGTTATTATACTACTGTCAAATCATACTTCCTGTTTTTTTTCTGCAAGTATTTAACAGAATATAGGGATCATGAGTGTTCTATTTTTCCTCCTCTAGTAAATGAAGAAGATATCTTTAAGCCTTATGTATAAGTTTACATTATTCTTGAACCACTTTTTAAACTAGGGTTTTTCAGATTTGTTTTTATTTTATTGATGACAGTTTAAGCAATTTAAGAGACGAAGTTAGCTCAAAACTCTTGCAAAACACACTTTAGCTTTTTTGTATGGGGGAATATGGAAAGGCCAACAATCAACACTGCTCCTCCCCATAAAAATGCCTTGGGAGTATAATAGGCATATACTTCATTTGTGTAACTTTTCCTGATTTTTTTTTTAATTTGCTTTATAACTGTTTCATGTTTACCTAATTGTTACTTAGTTTTAACATCTGTATACCTGGTTATTGATGGATCTTCTGTAGCTTTTATGTAGCCAAGGAGAGAGATAAGGGCTGTCAGCTTTTAAGTTATGTCTTAACAAGAAATCGCAATCCTCAAGTCATTTTATGAGGCTGTTACCCTTTAAGACAAAGAATACTTCCCTCAAATAGTTTAGAAAATTTCTGTAAATGGTCAATTAAGAGCGCAAATATAAAATTCTTGCTTCTTGTATATGATATTTCTTGCTTCTAGTGTTAAGTATTTTGGTGAAACGTGTAGACTATGGCACAGGTCATTATGCAAGCCTTAGCCTGAATGGAACTGCTGAAAAGTAAATGACAGGGATCTGAAGACTTAGAAGGCTTAACTTTTTACAGGGAAGGAAAGGCTGTGTAAGAGTAATTTTAACTACTGATTAGCTACTTTTATGGACAGAAATATTTTATTCCACTTTGTACCCAAGACTTCATTAAAACATTGTTCCTTAGAGCATACTTTAGAAACTACTTGGGAAGGAATCCACTGTCAAACTTCATGTCTTAATAGCACTGGCTTTAGTGTTAAGCTGAGTTGAATTCCAAGCCTGTTGGGCATTCCCAGCATTGCCACTACTGTGTTAAGTTTTCTGATCTGTGAATAACACTGCCTGCATCTCACAGGGCATGTAACAGTTAAATGGCTTGTATGCTGCACAAGCATAGGGACAGTCTGTCTTTTGTAAATCTCCCAATGCACACAATAGGCAGTCAATCAAATATTCTTGAACAAATGAAGTCACTAAGTGCTTATTAAATTTCATTTTAAATATAGCCTCTGTTAATTCATGGATCTTCAAACTTAAGACAATGCTTTGATTGACATTTCCACATTCCTCATAGGGATTTTTTGATACGAACTGGTTTAGTTAACATTGCTATACATGTCTTTCTACTTTTGGGAGTGATTTTCCAGAAATCTCTGGTACAGTTATATGTCACTTCGTGATGGGGCTATGTTCTGAGAAATGTGTCTTTAGGTGATTTCATTATTGTATGTACATCACAGAATATACTTAAACCCCAATTGTATATAGCCTGTTCTACAACTAAGCTATACGTATAGCCTAGCCTATTACTCTTAGGCTACAACACTGTACAGGATGCTACTGTAATCATACTGTCGGCAACTGTAACACAATGGTAAGCATTTGTATATTCAGACATAGAAAAGGTAAAGTAAAAATATGGTATTATCTTATGAGAGTACCCTCACATATACAATGTCACTGACCAAAATCTTATGTGGTGCCGTGACTATACTTGTTTAGAAGGCAAATTCCAATCCTTTTGATCTATGGTAGGCTCAATAATCTGTAATCTTAGAAAATCCTACCAGGGATTCTGATGTGGATGGTATGAGTACCACATTTTGAGATGTCCAGAAGAAAAATCTTCAAATTCCTTGGCTTTTTTCTTCCAGGTGAACCACCCTCTGACTAAGCTGGTTAGCCTCCTGAACTAGAAAACCTGGGTCTGGGAAAGAATCCATAATTTGCATGTGGACAGAGAAAAAAGCCCTGCAGCATCCCTGATGTAGCAAAGTTACTTATTACACTTCAGTTCTTACCATTTTTTTTTTTTCCTCCTTTGGTTTAAGGTTTGTAAAGAGATCTACCTGTTAGGTCGAAGTGAGTTAGTTCTTCAAATAGATTTGTGTGTGTGTGTGTGTGTGTGTGTGTGTGTGTGTGTGTGTGTTAAAAAAGCACATGGTCTAGTCCCTAAAGCAGTCATATTTTATTCTTCTGAACTGCTACTTACAAAGTAATCTCAATCACTGAAATGATAAATCTCAATCACTGAAATGATAAATCTCAATCACTGAAATGATAAATCATGTAACTATTCATGATTAAAAGGCAAGACAGCCAAGACAGTGCACGTTTAAGTCTCACATAAGTACAAAAATATTTATAAAATGTTACCATGTTAAAGGACAATAGTTTTTCATTCTCTAGAGAAGTATGAATGAAGTGCCAAAGATGTAGTCACTGGTGATATTCATAACCAGCTGAGTGAGGATGTTGCCCACTGCCTCACATCTGTAGGACAGTTGGGATATTTCTGCAGAGCATTCATAATTTGAGTATTATCCAAAAGCAGTTTCATCAGCTGGTACTCTCTCTGTGAATTTCCTGAAGTTCTTTCCACGGGCTTTATTAATTCTAATTGTTGCAAGTGTTCAAAAGCCTGAAAGATGAAAGAAATAGTTTAGGTTGAATAGGAGAGGAGAGTAATAAAGTAAACCCAGAGAACAGTTAGCATTTTGGTCAGCTGCAGAACAGAGTAGCAGGAAACAAAATGTAACAGCAATCAATAGCATTCAAAAAACTTTCACAACTCTGTAAAAACTCCTATTATCAGGTAAGAGTGCTAATGCACACTTACTTGTCCATGTATTGTTGAATGTAAACATGGAGTACTCTAATTCAGTATATACGACAGGGTTTTCTTCCTAGCCTCATTATCATAGCTCCTCCTAATACTTTAATTAATAGTGTTTCCAGTTCTCTATAAAAAACTAAGAATCAGATAAGATTTTCTGATTGATTACCTAAGCTACTCAGATTTACATTTATAGTTCGTCTCTACCTGTGTAAGGCTTTGCTACGTAAAAGGTTAACACAACTAACAAAAAGGGAGGCAGAAAAAGACCCTTGAGTCACTTAGGCATATTCAGCTGATCCTGTCAGAAAAAGATTCAGCAGGGTAGTATGGACATGGAGGAGAGAAGATGGGTTCCTATTTCTCTAAGAAGTCTGACTGAGGCTGTCACAGCCCTCTTCTATCTTCCCCATCTTAATAGGGTTCTTTCCTGTCTGCTTCCTCTTATTCTTAATATTCACGTACTATGTCTTTTCTAACCTTTGAGTGTTGTGTTAGGTATGTTATTAGGGTATGAAAAAAATAGAAATCATTAAATCATGATATACTAACCATTCGTAATGACAGTGAAATAGATTCCTGAGCATTCTATTATATTCTAACAACTCACTGTAAAAATCCTCACTGGAACATATTCTCTATGTATCACATAAATTCTTCTGATAGAGAAACAGCTCAGATACTATTGATATCTGAAAATGAGAAAATACTGGGGGTTTCAGGTGTTAGAGCTGAATAGAACTGTACAGATTTAAAATATTTCTAAACAGCAAAATATTGAAAATGCAGAAATAAGCAACTACAAATTATTAATAATAATTTAGATGCTTGGGTAAACTTTTCATTTTCACAACTCTCATAAACTAATACTATTAGGGGGAAAAAATCCTCCAGTGTTGTAAAATACTTTTCCTGTTTCTTTGAAGAAATGGCAATGCTCTGTACTCATTTTTGTTACTACAAGAGATGAAATTCTGATTACTAGGGCCTATAAGGGATACCAAAGGACTCGGGGGTCCATGGTTTTAAAAAAGATTTCTTTCCATAAAATCCTCAAGAGCTGAACTGTCACACTAGGCTACTGAGCAGTTCAATGTGGGACTCAATTGTTATTTAAACTTAAAAATGGATACTCAGTTCTATTAGAAAATTCTGAGCATGTTTAGAACAATTTCAAAATGTAAATTTACTTTCTCAGCTATAAATTTTATGGAATCTAAACAGCAAGAATTTCCAATGAATATTTAAGCAATTGAGATGTGCTGTAAGTATAAATGCATACCAAACGTTAAAGACTTAATTCAAAAGAACGTAAAACAAAGTACTTTATAAATGTTTTTCTATAATGATTATAGATTGACACATTTATGATATGCTGAATTAAATACATAATTAAAATTACACCTTTTAAATTTTCTTACAGGTACTAGAAAATCTAAAACTATATTACGTGGCTCACATTACCTTTGTAGTGGACAATGGTAATCTATATGAAGTCCTCAAGTTCTAAAACTCATGACTCAGTCCCCAAATAACACTTTCTCTGTATGCCCTCAGAGGCCAGTGAGATTTTGTCTTTTAAGCTTCTTAATGGCTCTTAGTTTCATTTTTTTTCTCATTTTACTGCTCAGATTATAAAAGGCAATCCTTGGGTTGGAAAGGGAAAGGCGGTATCACACACTATACTGAATAGTTGTTTTCAGGATGCAAGTGCTATGAACAGACAGCAGAGGGCAGTATAACTCCACAAACTAAAACAATTGGTTGCCGGCTCAGATTTTTCGAAAATACTTCATTTTTAGATAACTTTCTTGTTTTGAAAAAAATCTCTACAATAAATACTTAATGTTTAAAAATTGATGAAAGTGCAATTTTAATACATAATCAAATTTGATGTAAAAAATATACTTGTCTAGAAAAATAACAGCAAACTAAATCTAAAAATTGATGAAAGTGCAATTTTAATACATAATCAAATTTGATGTAAAAAATATACTTGTCTAGAAAAATAACAGCAAACTAAATCTTACCTTCATGACAACAGGTTTTTCAAAATTATAAACAGAATGCGCTTTTCTTTGAACAAACTTCTGAAACTCTGGGTAGAAAGCAATGACAATATTGTATCTTCACATAAGCAGTGGGTAAGAATCAGAAAAAAGCCACTTAAGTCTCATCTCACCATTATAGACCATTTGAAAATTAAATGGCTCCTCCTCATAGATGTCATTTAAATGTTTCATTGCTATTATAAGACAGATTTCCAAGACTGATAGACCTATAGTAAAAGGGAAAAAAGCTATTAGTTTAGTGACACATAAGACTAAAATAACTGTTCTCCAAAGAGTGCAATATAGTGAAAGATCTATGGTTTTGAGGAGTAAAGAAGGTCAAGATTTTTCTGGATTTCAATGTGTTCCAATCACTATTATCTATATAAATTTAACTAAGTTACTTAACCTCCCTGAGCTTAGTTCTTCATAACTTTAAAGATATTTTTAAACTTTTAGAACTGTCACAAAGATTAGAGACAATTTATCAAGCACTCACCATATGGCCCACAGTACACAACAGGAACTTCGATTGTTATATGACTTTAAATCACATGGGGCCTTCGGGTACGATTTATCCAGAGACTTTCTAAACTCCTAGAAATTATATTCAAATTTGTGTTTTCCTTTTTTCCTCTGGAGAGGAAAAGGTTCATTACATTTGCATAAGGAAATAATGAACCCCAAATGGCTGAAACCCAGCGAACGCTCTTCAGTAGCTCTTGGTACAATGAAAACATCAGCAACATAGTTTTACCTGGATTTCTAATTTCTAATGTGGCAAAAGAGGCAGAGCATCAAGGTTTTTGTTTTTTGTTTTGTTTTGTTTTTTATACTTTAAATGGAAGTGATAGTACCTTTAAAAGGACTTAAGTTAAAGGCTATATGGAGATAAAAGTATTTTATAAAGCATTATGCCCATGTTAATTGTAATTTTAAGAAACATTCCCTTATCCAAATTCAAACTTTAAAAAAAAAAATCCACAATTAAAAAAAAATTAATAAAACTGGGTTCTCACCATGTACAATATTTGCTTTTGAGTCCATGCTACACAGCTGGCTTGCTTCCATTAGATCTACAGCAGTCATAAATGGGTGTGATGCTGTTACTCGATTTAAAGAAAGCATCTAGGGAATGTGGATCAGAAAAACAATTACGTATTTACATGGACATTTTGGAGACACTGCTGTGTAAAACTTCTGAATTTGTATAGTCAGTTCTTAAGGGAGAGTAAATATTAATGCTTAGAGAGGTATTCTCAAATTCAGTCCCTATTAAAATACAGTATTTGAATTTTATATGTGATATAACTCCACGAATGTAAAGTATAAAAACAGTTCTTGCTGCTCTCTTTAACCCATTCCACTTCCGTATCTTGTTTACTTAATGCTTGGAAGAACAATATTTAAAGAGGAGTAGAGCAAGGAGAAGAAACTGAAAATAAGTAAGAATACTTACTAATAAAAGCCCCAAACACAAGCCCAAAAGGCAGATCTATGCCTTACTTGTAAACTTTTCACCACCCAGTCATCCAGCCAGGTTAGTGTTCAGTTAGACAGAAGTTAGCTATTTCATGTTCAATGGTACAAAAAAAAAAAAAAAAACTAGCACATTTTTACTCAGGAATAACTCTCCTTGGAAACAGGGTCTGCTTTTCTTGTGCTTGTTCTTTAGTTATCCAAAAATGAACAGAGGTCCCTGACCAGAGTTGCTACACAAGTGTTTTAAAATTTCCTTTTTTCTTCATTTGTATTTTTCATAAAAGTTCTATTTGGTCATTTAGGGTTAGAAGACTGAGCAGATAAAAATGCATGACCTCTGGTTAAATTTCAATTTCAAAGAAACAATAGTTTCTTGGTATAAGTATGTGCCATGCTATTATATTTGGGACATAATTATCCAAGAAACTCTCTCCTCCACCTTAACTAGAGCACAGGCGATTAGCCAGGCAAAGAGTCTGGCAATCCCTGTTCCTTCATTCTCCTGCTGGTTTGGACCCAGTTGGCTAGTGTTCCCTCCCTTTGTCTCTCCTTTCCTTTTTCTGTTAATTATGAAAATTTTTTTAAAATTTTAATTTTTCCATAAGTTACTGGGGGTACAGGTGGTATGTAGTTACATGAGGAAGTTCTTCAGTGGTGATTTGTGAGACTATGGTGTACCCATCACCTGAGCAGTAAGCACTGCACCATATTTGTAGGCTTTTATCCCTTACCCTGCTAGAAAACAGTGTGGACATTCTTTAAAGAACTAAAAGTAGAACTATCATTTGATCCAGCAATCACACTACTGAGCATCTACCCAGAGAAAAAGAAGTCATTATTTGAAAAAGATACTTGCACAAGTATGTTTAGAGCAGCACAATTCACAATTGCAAAATCACAGAAGCAACCCAAATGCCCATCAATCAAATGGATAAAGAAACTGTGGCATATATATATATATATATATACACACACACATACACACACACATACATACACACTATTGAATACTACGCAGCCATAAAAAGGAATGAACTAATAGCATTTGCAGTGACCTGGATAAGACTGGAGACTATTATTCTAAGTGAACTCAGGAATGGAAAACCAAACATCGTATGCTCTCACTGATATGTGGGAGCTAAGCTATGAGGACACAAAGGCAAAAGAATTTTTTTTAACATATATGAAGGCAACAGAGAATAATAAATTGAATATCCATGATACTTTCCCTGCTTAAGAAATATGATCTTAGACTTCAAGCCCATCTCCTCCGGATTGGACTCTACTGTTCCCCACATAAAACAACCAAGTATGTCTATACTTTTAGGTCAGTGCAAGTAATTGCCATTTTTGGCATTGAAAGTAATTTGTACCAATCTAATACAGTATACTACTACATATGCATTTATTACACAACAGAGTAATTTTCAAATTTTATATAAATATTGTACCTTCACGACTCTCTTCACTGAACATCTATTATGAGATTTTATCTATGTTGAGGTAGTATCAATTCTGCCTTATTCATTTTTTATATTTATTTGTATATACCTGCAATTACTCATTTCCTAATTTCCTATTGATAGACATCTGTCATTTCTTCTTCCTTTTTTTGGTCCGCAGTCATAAACAAGGCTGCAATCAACAACCTTGGACATTCTTCCTGTGTATTAGGTAACTAGAGTTTCTCTAATTAGTATAAGTATGTTTCTCCAGTTACCTAATTCGCTAAATTGTTCTCCAAAGCACATGTATTTACCTTGGCAGCAGCAAATATTAATAGTCACAGACATGTTACCATCAAGCATAACCTCTGACACCCACTAGATTGGCAAGAAAACAAGTTTAATTATAGTATTTCTCTGGTTACTGGAGAGGCTGAAAATCTATAATCTATAATGAGCTTCCTCAATGACAATCAATAATGGGATGAGCTAAGAATATGAGTAAGCAGCCCTCAAAGAATCCCATATGACAAAAAAGTCATTATTTAATTCATTACCATGAATTAATAATGTAATAAAAAATGGCAAGACAATGGCTGTTAATATTGAGGCTGTTAATATTGTAAATTTGACAATATTGAGGCAGATATATTTTCCCAGATGGAGGTATATATATTCCTCTTCTAAAAATTATTAGTCCCCAAATTACTTCACGAAAAGACAGCTGTTGCTGAAAATGGCAGTATCCTTTTCATAATAGAGGGAAAATATACAGGATAAAAATATTTAAATTTCCTTGGCAGAAACAGCTGAGGAAAGAGAACTTGTATATAAACATGAGTGAACCATACAGTCAAGTAGGACACAAACCTGAAGCCAGAGAACTCTGGATTGAGTCCTAGCTTTGTTATCTACTAGTACTGTGACCTTGGGCAAATTATTTAGCTTTAAGGAGCCTCAATTTCTTTAGGGGTAAGGATAAAAAGTAAGATTATTCCAATGGTCAGACATAATATAGGTACTACTAGTATCTACAGTACTTGGCTTATGTGCTAGTCAATAAATGGTAGCTACTATCATTATTATTCTATTATTATTATAAATGACCTTTCTACAAAATCAAAACTATCTTCTGCTTGAAAGGTATTTGCTGTAATTTTTCTAGAAATATTGACTAAAACCAAATACTCTTAGTGAAGAAAGTTAATTTGCAGAACAATTAAGTACTTCTTGTTTGATATTGGTATTATATAAGCTTAAGATATAATTACTTGGCAAAACACCATGACCAAGTAGGATTTATTCCAGGTATATATATATATCAACAGGATAAAGAGAAATATGAACATGTCAAATGATCAAGAATAAGCATTTGACAAAATCCAACACCCATTTATCATAAACTCTCAGCAAGTTACAAAGATGAGGATTACCTGTACTTGATAATGAACATGTATAAAAAAACCTATAGCTAACAACATACTTAATGATAAAAGTTTGAATCCTTTCTTCCCAAGACTGGGAACAAGAAAGATGTCCACTCTCACTCTTTAATACAACATAACACTGGAAATTCTAGCCATTGCAGAAAGGCAAGATAAGAAATAAAAGGCGTACAGATTGGAAAGAAAAAAAAAATCCTCCTAGAATAAGTGAGTTCAGCATAGACTATAAAATCAACACATAAAAGTCACATTTCTATATAATGTATGTGTGTGTGTGTGTGTGTGTGTGTGTGTGTGTGTATGTAATCACATATTCTATATGTAAAGAATATGTGGAAACAAAAACCTCAAAACACCATTTACAATTTTTTAACAAAAAATAAATACTTAGGTATACACATTAAGTGATCTGTGTAGTAAAAACTAAAATGCTGATACAAGTAATCAGACAAGAAATTAAATAAAAGGAGATATGAAGCCTATTCCAGGATTTGCAACACTCAATGTAGTAAGCATGTGGATTCTCCCAAAATTTACCTACAGGTTTAAGCAATTCCCATAACAACTTAATTAATCTAGTGAAAGACAGAAAATGATAAGAGTAGGTAGGCAGAGCACAGAGGCTGATGCATGTAATGTCAGCACTTTGGGAGGTAGAGATGGGAGGATGGCTTAAGGCCAGGAATTCGAAACCAGTCTGGGCAACAAAGTGAGACCCCATTACTATTAAAAAACAAAAAACATCAACAAGCAATAAAAACAAAACTAATACAAACCAATAGCATGTGTAATGACCGCAGGTTTTTGCTGATATTGAAATGCTTCTGTAGTACCTCCTGCACACTTCTCTCTTCTGAGAGACACTAAAGGGGGAAAAAAAAAAAAGTCAAAATTGAGGAGAGATGTGGTTTAAAACCTATATAATCCTTTGCCTTACTGGTTGGTGTACCTTATTAACTCTAACTAATGTTAATTCATTAGTAAACAGATGCTTGGTCTTATTTGTAGAACACTAAAATCAAAAGAAACTTTCCAGTCTACTGATTTTCCTATCATGTTCTTTACATTAATTCAATGAACACAATGACAAAACAATCCTTGCTAACTCAAAATTTCTACTTGAATAAGGGAAACTACACAGTCATACTAGTGAAATGAACAAAATGCAGCACAAAAACACAAGAGCATGAGTTACTGTACCTAGATAAACAAGGTAAAGCATTGTAAAGAATGCTTAAACTGGATGAGACAAGAGATTTAAAAAAGAGGGAAGACCATTTCAGTTACAGGGAACAACATGAGTAGTAGGAAAATCATGGTGTATTGGCAGAAAATGAGTAGTCACATACTGGAGTTTCAGTTACTGGCAAAATGAATGTACAAAAAAAAAAAAAAACAAAACAGAAAAAAAAAAACAAAGGCAGAAAAACCCAATTGGAGGTAGCTGTCCAGACAAGAGGTAAGGAGGGTCTGAATTATCTGAGTTGTATTAAGACAAAGGAAAAATAAGACAATTTATAGGAGATACATCTGGTAGAGAATTAGCTGGTAGCAGAAAAGAAGGAAGTGTTTGAAAAGTAGAAGATAAAAATCACAGATGATCTGTGGGAAACAAAATGGCCTGTGAAAAGTGAAATGTCAAGAAATGAATCTTGGATTATCAATATTTAAGTATTAGGTGGGAAAAGAGAAAAACTAAGAAAGTAAGAAAGATACCAAAGACTGGAAGAGAATCCAAGACAGAGCAGAGGTCTAGAAAATAAGGGAAGAAAGTTTCAAGAGAGAAGTGGGATTCAATGATATAAACTACTTTGTAAAATTTAGATAAGATATATTTGAGAAGAGGCTAATGGCTTTAGAAATTCAAAGATCACCAGGGCCCTTTGAGAAAGCAGCATCTAAAGAGGCCAGTGACTGCGGTGTATTAGGGCTGAATGGAAGGTGAGGAACACTGGCACTGAAGAAAAGATTACATGAAAAGAGAGTCAATTCCGAGGTCAATGAGCCAAGAAAGGCTTAGAAAAGATTGACATAATTTTTCAAAAGTCATCTGCATGGAATAAGAATTCTTTTTCTCTTTAAAAGAGAAGCCCAAAAAACTAAGCATTTTTGTATTTTCTAGAGCTATAACTACATGTCTACTTTTTCTACTCTAAGAAGCCCAGATTCAGAAGTAAGTTCTAGTCCACTGGAATCAACTTTTATACTCTCAGGAAATAGATTGTCTTAATTATAGTTCCCACTCCCTTGTTATTGTTTCTAGTCTTCTCTTTGTATTTTAAAGGGCCTCCTGTTACTATATGTATATTTTTCTGTCACAAACATGGTAGAATATCCTTAGGAAGTACACAAGGTGAACATAAAATAACAAAGCAAAGTAATACAAACCTTTTGGAAATTATAAAATTTTTTTAGCTTTTCCACAGTTTTAAAATTGCAATATTGAAGACAAATATGTGGCTAAATATCACAGGCAAACTATAGTCTTGGCTTCTGTAATCTGTAACTTGTAAACATTGATGTGGTAAAATCAGAGCACTTAGGACAACTAAAGAAAATCACCTGGGACAAAATTCATTCTAAAACTTTTCTTTGCAAGAATCAATTATTTTTAAAACCTGTATTTGCCTCTCTTTGACATGATGCTTCAGAGATGAGTCTTCTGTACTCCACCTTGCTATTTCATCTCTTTAGTTTTAGTGGTTTGACTCCAACTCCCTCTCTTTCTGAAAGTTGTCACCTTCTTGCTTCTATAATTACTTAATCTGCTTTTAAAAATGCCTACCTTATATACATGAGCCACTTAAACAAACGAAAAAATTGTCTACCTCTTTTATTACATTTTTAATGCCATCTTGATTCAAACACCATACCCTATTTGAGGATAAGGCTATTATCAATAACCAGTTGAACTTAGCTACAATACTTTGGGAGATTTCATTTGAGAATAAGGTATGATTCCTTCAAATGTTCTTTTTAAAGGATCTCTGTTATACTGCCATGGTAAGATAGAGTCTACTCTGTTTACTTGAGTCATGTGAAGTAGGGCTAAAACAAACCTTCAAATTAGGCAGGATATCCATGTTCAATCTTATCCTGAAGATATTTCTTGGATGAGATTCCTATGTGTGACCTGTGATCTGTATCATTGCTTTTGGTTTAATCTTGCCGTTCAAAGTAACCTGCTGGATTATCAGCACTAAGAGAAAGAATAGCTCCTTTAATGCAGCTACCACCCTACTCCTCAAGGCAGGGACTCTGACCATGGTGCTGACAAATTTTTCAAGTGAAGCTCATTTTATTCACATACCAAAGAGAGGCATAAGACAATCAGGATAGGGGAAGAAAATATTAGAACTCAGAGACACAAACACCAGTGATGCTGGTTCTACTTAATGAAACCTACTATTATGACTATCAAAAAGATGACAGGATAGTGCTCACATTCAGGGGATTTAAGGCATGCCACAAAAGTCTAGAAAGCTAGAGCTGAGCTATGCTACTAACAGATGGTTACTATTTTCCAAGTCACGCAGAGTTATGCTTGTTCACCAGTGACTCCCAGCATCCTCTTTATTTATATACCCACTTTTGGATGTTCAGAATGCAAGACAGTTGGGAAGGGCAGGGGATGAAGGATGGCACAATGCAACCTGGACCATGTAGTCACTTTAGGAAGATTAAGTGTGAGCAGGTATGGAAAAAATAAGAGCCCATGGAAAGTACAGACATTTAAATGAAAGACTACACTGAATGAAAGACTACACTGAATCTAAAACAACCAAAAAAACATACTGGTGGAATAAGACAATCAGTTTAGGAGTTATAGAAGATGAAAAGTCTGTGAGGCACTGAAAAGTAGACCTAAAAGCTAAAGATCCAGAGGTCTGGTCCACACCAGACCCCAGTAAGAGGGGACACTGTGGGAGTACCAGCTACAAAGAAAGTGCTCCCATAGATGGAATCCTATAATTAGAAACAGTATCAAAGACACTGACCACAGGTAACTGAAAGATCTGAGTCCCAGGCAAGATTAATTTGAGTAGAAGAGAGGATCCATACCTAATTATATCAAGGTATAATATCTGAATTTTAAAGATAATGTCAGCAATTTTAACATAGAATTATGAAGAGTTGTACTGAAGAGGAAGCTATCGGTCATAACAATGGGAAAAAAAGTAATATAAAAATATGTAGGCTTTGAGTCCTTTCTGTAAAAACAACACATTTAGCATGTACATAAACTCTGCAATGTTATAGACTAAATAATTACTCCATAGTAGAAAGGAGAATTGGCACAGTTTAAAGGGAAACTTCCACTATTTATCATCTATTCTTTTGCACTGATTAAATTTTGTTCAATAAACTTTTATGATTAAAAAAATGAAATGTGACAAAATAGTGCCTTCATGAGACTATATTTTATAATCAAAACAATAATCATTTAAAGAACAAACTAATGCAAAATGCTTCCAATTTAGCATTGGTACTTAAGAATTCATGGTAAAAATACAATCTATCACTATTGTTTTAAAATAAAACAATCTTTTTTATAGAGTCAGTGAATATAGACTGTGCAATTCTATTCAAAGATCTAATTATCCATACCAGTATTTTAATATTATAAATCAGTTTTCCCCAATTCCTTCAGAACCAGGGACTCTATATTATTTTTCACTCTCAAGAGGCCAATTATTTTTGAGAGTCTACCATAAAGGACTTATTCATTAACAATGTTTTTCAATTATGTTAGTAAATACACATTCACCTGCATACTCCCTCCTTTCTCTTTCCCAACTGAAACCTCTTGTCAGCATAAGATTAAAAAGATGCTAGTGTGTTGAACATATTTTAAGCACAGGTAAACTGACAGTCTCAAAGGCTTGCGAAATCTTTAAAACAACGTAAGAATCTGCCTTTGTATCTAAGACTGTCAGGTCTCCAGGGACTGTGAGATGTGATCACCTATTAGATAATATAACCAGAGGTGCCACAAGCTGGACTGCTTCTTAAGGCCCAACAAAATAAAAGCTGAAGTTGCTAATGAAAACTGGAAAACAAAAAATCCACACATAATAGGTATGACTCACTAACATTTATCATTATTTACTAGTTATTATTATTGCTAAAAATGTAAAATATCAAACTACTAACAGAAATCCTAAGCTTAACTGTGATGTTCTTTTGAGATAGAATTTGGCCGGGTGTGGTGGCACACACCTGTAACCCAAGCACTTTGGAGGCCAAGACAGGTAGATCACCTGAGGTTGGAAGTTCAAGACCAGCCTGACCAACATGGTGAAAGCCTGTCTTTTAAAAAAAGAGAGAGAGAATTTAGGAGATATGACATTTCAACTGTCTGTTTTCAGAAGAAAATTTTTAAAAAGTACATAGTTTGTATTCCAGCAGCTTTATACCCCAGCAATATTAGAAGCTTTATGTTAATTTACTAATTTCTAAAATTTGTGTTTTAATTGCTTTAAATCATATAGTAAGGAACATTTAACTGTATTCCCTTTAAGTTACCTGAACATTCTCATTCCACTTCTCAGCAAAAAGCTTCTCTGGAAATTCTGCAGGTAGAGATAACTGTTCTTTAAATATTTTAACATACTGTGGAAAACCAAATGAATTCATTAAGTGTATCTGACGGTGAGAAAATCGTGACTTCACTCTTTTTTCTAAGAGTTCCAAAATATCCTTAAAAACAAACAGAAATCTCTGTAAGATGCATGTTTAAAAACAAAACAAAACAAAACAAAACAAAACAAAACAAAACCACTGTATCAACGTTAGAGGTACAAGTAAACTATCACTTATAATTATTAATGTTTAGTCTATAATATATAAACACTTAAAGCATTCTATGCAAACTAAATAATCACCTCCCCCTGCCCGCATCTGCTGGCTTGGTCATGCCATGTCTTTTTCTTACCATGTTACTCTTAGCTAATCTGTAACATTCCAAGACCCAATATGATTGTTAACTGACTATTGAAGAGCTACAAGTCACAGTAACATCAAGAGTTTCAATAAGGAATAGAAGAACTGAGATTAAAAAATTAATAGCATGATAGGTAGCAGGAACCAACATTAGGAGAGGAAAGTAGTAGAAATGCAACATGGCATTTGTAAGTTAAGTTCTGGCTTTTTTTTTTTTTTTAATAGTAATGTTTTTAGACCCTATTTGTATTTGTGCTATTTTTCCTTAAGAAAACAGGAATCAAATTTACTGTCAAAGAACACTAAAAACCAAAGGATAACTAACAGGTACTACTTGTAAGGACATATAAAGTGTTCTTAAATGAAGAAAATACTTCCACGAAACTGATAGGCATTGGAACTATCCAAGACATCAAAAGCACAATAGGTAAGCTGTCTTCCTGAGTCACATACATGGCAGGAACGGTCATTCCTAAATCCCTTTTTAAAACTGAACTTGAGCAATTTTTCAAAATATGTTACAGTACACAAAATACCATATTACTCTACAGTTACACTCCAAGGTATACAACTAAGAGAAATGAAACCAGGTAACTGCAAAAAAAAAGTGTATGTGAATGTCTGCAGCAGTATTATTTTTAATAGCTTAAGAAATGTAAACAACCCAAATGTCCATCCACTGATGAATGGATAAACAAAGTGTAGTATATCTATACAACAGAATATTATTTGGCAATAAAAAGGAATAAAGGACTGATATATGCTCTAACACAGATCAACCCTGAAAACATGTTAAAGAAGCCAGTCACACAAAACTATATGTTGTATGATTCCAAAATAAGTCAGAAGTAGTCATTGCCTAGGGCTGGGGAGGGAACGGGATTGAGGTGAAGTCTTAAAGGTATGAGGCTCTTAAATTGTGGTGATAAGTGCACAACTCTATAAATAAACAAAAACTCTGTTAATTGTATGATTTAAATGAGCGAATTGCGTGGTATACATTATATCTTAATAAAGTCGTTTTAAACAACTCCCAACCCCAAATATGAACATTGACATGCTATTTGATGACTTTAAGAAATTACAGCTAATTTAACAATTATATTAGGGAAATATATTTTTAAAGAGCACTTATCTCCTAAAAATACATTATAAAATACCAATAAAATGACATAATACCTAGTTTTTGCCTCAAAATAATGAAGGGAGGGAATGAAGGGAGATGCAGAGGATAAATACAACTAGTCTGTAGTAACTGAATCTTGACAATGAGTGGAGAAGGGAATTCAGGGTTCATTATTTATTCTCTCCTATGTATATTGTTGAAACATTACAGAATAAAGTTTTTTAAAAGGTGGGTTGGTTAAGACCAGAAATACACATTTCCATGTCTAGTCAGATGACTCTCATAATACCTAGGTCAAAAAATCATGATATAGTGGAGAGAATTCAAGTGAGCAAAATGAGATCATGGTTAGTTTGAGAAGGAGGACAGGAAAGACTAACAGCCTAAGGTAGAGGCGGGAGGGTGAATAAAAAATTTTGAATGTTTTTATGAGGTCAAATAAAAGTATAGTGCCGGCATGTGAACTGAAAGGGAAGAAAGGTTATATTCAGAGATACAGATATTGCACATTTATTTTCTATTAAGAAAGAGTTCTAGGTCACCCATATAGGTAGACAGTGAAAGTAATAATCTACCCAAGCAACAATTAAGAGCCTAAACTTGGAAATGAAAAGAGGTGGAAGTACATGATGTCTTTGTAGTAGGTAGTAATGACAGAAGTTGGCAACGTGGGCATACAGGGAGTAGTAAAAACAAAATAAAAAAACAAAAATGGGATTACTCCCAATGGGGAAGAAGATGCTTGCTGACAAAGTCACTACTCTCTCTATCCTTTTACTTTCTCCCTATAAACATGGATAGAGATAAAAATGCACTTCAGGCCAGGCATGGTGGCTCACACCTGTAATCCCAGCACTTAGGGAGGCCGAGGCAGGCAGATCATGAGGTCAGGAGTTCAAGAGCAGCCTGGCCAACATAGTGAAACCCCGTCTCTACTAAAAATGCAAAAATTAGCTAGGCATGGTAGCAGATGCCTGTAGTCCCAGCTACTCAGGAGGCCGAGGCAGGAGAATCACTTGAACCCGAGAGGTGGAGGTTGCAGTAAGCCGAGATCACGCCACTGTACTCAAGCCTGGGCAACAGAGCAAGACTCTATCTCAGGGAAAAAAAAAAAAATTACACTTGAAAGAACTAAACAGTTGGAGAATTATATATACAGAACAAAAAAGAACATCTGATGACACTGCTAAGAAGCTACTGACCTTTTATTTGGTCCTTCACTGGGTCAACAACACTTGCCACAGCTACTTCCACCCAAAGGAAGATTTTTTGTTTTTGGCAAGAAGGAGGGTGCTTCTTTGATCCCTGTCATAGCCTGCTGCTTTTGGCAAGGAGAAATAAAGATATGCGGAGCACCAGCCAGTGTTGTATAAGGGAGGTTTATACTAAAGCCATATATCATAAGTAAGCTAGAGAGTACAGGGAAGGAAGGGCAAATGACAGTCACTCTATAGAGAAACAGCACTGGAAGGAGAACTGATGAAATATGAATTAGTATAAAGTTTCACTTTTCTGAAAAAGAGCTGCAGGAAAGGAGAAATTATATTTATTAGCATAATCTTCAGTTTTTTTTTTTCAGTTATTTTACTGGGAGGAGGGAGGTATTTATTAATGTGCTAAGATAACCATTTACCCATTTTCCCCAATTTGAGTTGAAAAGCAGGATAAATACTGCTGAAACAAATTTTTTTAAATGTCTAACATAATGACAAAATAAGTGAAAAAAGACTAGTAGTGTCAGCAATTAAGATTGAACTTTAAAATATTATAAACAAATTTTTTAATAAAGAGAAAGACTTACCAATCTACATGTAAGACCAATAACTGCTATTGGGGTCTGTGCAGATTGAGAAATGTCAAAAAGATTATAGAGAAGTGTTTGGTTTTTATGATGAGCAAAAAGATCAAATTCATCTAATATGAAGATCACTGGGCAACTGCTAGTTCGGTCACCTAAGATAAAATAAGAGCATTACAAGAAGAAATTATATCCACCTTTCCTCAGTTTCTAAACTATTTACTATATTTCAGGTTTTAAAACTTAATTCTACAAACATACTGATAGCGTACTTTGGGTAGGGCATTTACTGATGCATGTACATTCATTCAACAAAAGAAATTATTCAAAGGACAACGATAGCCCCCACTGCTCTCCAGAAGTTCAGTCTAGGCCAGGCACGGTGCCTCATGCCTGCAATCCCAGAACTTTGGGAGGCTGAGGTGGGTGGATCACCTAAGGTCAGGGGTTTGAGACTAGCTTGACCAACATGGTGAAACCCCATCTCTTATTAAAAAAAAAAATACAAAAATTAGCTGGGCATGCTTGTGGGTGCCTGTAATCCAAGCTATTTAGGAGGCTGAGGCAGGAGAATCTCTTGACTGGGGAGGCAGAGTTTTCACTGAGCCAAGATCACTCCAGCCTGGGCAACAAGAATGAAACTCTGTCTCAAAAAAAAAAAAAAAAAAAAAAAAAAAAAAAGTTCAGTTTAGTTCCTAGACTCTAGTTTGTTTGAAAATGTCAAAAATCATTTAAATGACTAAAGACTATTATTTTTATAATTATGTAAACATAATTCTTATTTAATGATTACAAAATTGGCAAAAGACTTTTCTATACCTATATAGAACCAAAACATTTAGGGTTAAAATATAAAGGAAGTCACTACTTAATGAACTATACTAATGCTTTAAAAGAGAGTTGTTTACTCAGTAGAAATGCAAAGTATATTTCTCATAGAAATACTTTTTATAAACAATGGTTAGATTATAAAGTTTAACTAAAGCACTTTAACTCCCTTTAAGCACGACTTTCAGCATTTCAACTAAAATGCTTTTCATGGGGAAAAGTTCCACAGGATTTTCTTTGGTTACATTTTTCTCACTTCAATGATGGAAACTACTTTAGTAAAAGAATCCCTTTTACCTTAGGCTTACAGCCTTTATATTTGTGTTAAAAAGTAAAACTATTATATGACAAAAGAAAGACTTACTTCAACAAATAACAAATACAGTGCCTAAATGATTTAATACTGGTACAAAACCAGAGGGATTACTTAAAAGTCTATAAAGAGACCTATGTACTAATACAAAATTTTAGTATTTGATAAAATATTGCATTATACATCAGTGGGGAAAATTAGTCTATTCAAAGTTACATCCCTACTTTACAGGTCAAATCAAAATTTCTAAACAAATTATGAATTACAAATATATATATTAAATGAAAACATGGATCAATGTTTTCATAATCTGAAGGAGAGAAAAAACTTTCTAGATAAACGTAACTGTGGAAAACGTAAAACTCTAGTTCAGCAGTAAAGTCCAAACCAAACTTAAGGGAAGAGAAAAATAAAACACAAAAATTCCAATAAATAAGTATAAGATAAATATTACCAAAACAGGTCAAAGACCCAACAGGAAATACAGTCATGTTTCCCTTAACAACACAGATGCGTTCTGAGAAATGTATTGTAGGTTACTGCATCATTGTACAAGCATCCTCAGAGTGTACTTACATAAGCCTAGATGGTATAGCCTACTACACACCTAGGATACATGGCATAGCCTATTGCTCCTAGGCTATGAACCTGTAAGCATGTGACAGTGTAGGCAACTGTAACACAATGGGAAGTATTTGTGTATCTAAACATATCTAAATACAAAAAAGGTACAGTAAAAATACAGTTTTAAAGTCTAATAGGACCACTGTCACATATGTGGTCTATCATTGAATTAAAAGTGTTATGTGGCACATGACTGTACATAAACCAGGAAATATCAAAGGTCAATAAAAATGTGAAATGATAAGCATCACCACTATCAAAATTATGCAAATTAATCAAAATTACACAAAAGAACAAAATTATTCCAATTAAACTAAGAGATGAAAGATTTTCTTTCTTTTTTTTTTTTTTTTTTGAGACAGAGTTTCGCTCTTGTTGCCCAGGCTGGAGTGCAATGGCGCGATCTCAGCTCACCGCAACCTCCACCTCCTGGGTTCAGGCAATTCTCCTGCCTCAGCCTCCTGAGTAGCTGGGATTACAGGCACACGCCACCATGCCCAGCTAATTTTTTTTTTTAGTATTTTTAGTAGAGACAGGGTTTCACCATGTTGACCAGGATGGTCTCGATCTCTTGACCTCGTGATCCACCCGCCTCAGCCTACCAAAGTGCTGGGATTACAGGCTTGAGCCACCGCGCCCGGCTGAGATGAAAGATTTTCTATTAGATGGGCAAACATAAAAATAATTGTTTTTGAGGTTGTGAAGAAAAAGGTACTATCGAGTATTTTTATTTATTTATTTTTTATTTTTTATTTTTTGAGACGGAGTTTCGCTTTTGTTACCAAGGCTGGAGTGCAATGGCGCGTTCTCGGCTCACCGCAACCTCCGCCTCCTGGGTTCAGGCAATTCTCCTGCCTCAGCCTCCTGAGTAGCTGGGATTACAGGCACATGCCACCATGCCCAGCTAATTTTTCGTATTTTTAGTAGAGACGGGGTTTCGCATGTTGACCAGGATGGTCTCGACCTCTTAACCTCGTGATCCACCCGCCTCGGCCTCCCAAAGTGCTGGGATTACAGGCTTGAGCCACCGCGCCCGGCCTTCGAGTATTTTTATAAAGTGAATCTTTAAAGTAATTTAGTAGTGTTCATTCTTTTAAAGACAGTGCCTTTTAACCCAGAATTCTACCCACAGAAATTTACCCCAGGAAATATCTGGATGATCATCTAAGTATCTCTTCTTAATTATAAAAAATGAGAAACACAAGTCCATAATTGGTGATTAATAAATAGCACCTAATAAAACAAGATGAGAATCATAAAAATGGTGATGCAGACCAAAATTCACTGATTACAAAATAGGTAAGATAATTTTATTCTTGTAAAATGTTAAATTTATCTCTATCAATAATATACAGCAGGTGCATAAAGATAAGAAATCAAATGCTAATTGAGATAATCACTGTTATAATAGTGGGAATACAGTGATCATTGTTTCTTTTTTATGTTTCTGTATTGTATGAGTTTTTCTTTTGGCAAAAGCTTGTATTACCTTTATAATCAAGGAAAAAATAAAGTTAAAATATTTCTTTTGATACAGCTGAATATGTTAACATTTACCTTTTTTTAAAGCTTCCAGAAGAAATGAAAGGTTTTCAGCAAAGCTTCCCTGAACAACAAAATGAGAACAAATGACTAAAAGTTTGGTGAAATAAAAAACAAAAGAGGGCTTTCTGATTCTCCGATTTTACATAAACACTGTGTATCTTCTAGTTATTAGAGCTACTGCCCAGACTCTGCTGAGTGTCCCTATACTTCCTATCTAAAATTTAAATATTTAAGCAAAGATAGCACAGCACTAAAAACAGCAATATGTCAATATGAAATTTTATATTTTAGAACTTGAGGATAACCGGTCAAAGAAGAAAAAGAAAAGTAAGAAATTTTATATTTTCTGGACAAAATCTGTAAGAATGTTAAATTTATTTGAAGGTAGTTTTCTAAATATAGTTTGAGAACTAGAAATGCATTCTACTTTGTGTTTTCAAACACAATGGGATGTTGCAAGTCTCAAATTAATTTGTACCAGTAAAGAAATAACCATTAATTTAAATGAGATACAACAAGAAAAGGCTTTTTTGAAACAATAAATACCATAACAATGTTTGTCTATTCAAGAGTATATTAAATAATTTATGTGTATCATATTATGTTTGGCTGTGTTTACATGGAATATAGCCAAAACATTTTTGTATGCAATTAAATTCTTGATAAAATGATGAAACTGAACAAGGTAGTAGATGCATTATCCAGGTGCTCCAGATTGTGGGTAGAAGTCCCATTTAAATATTTTTTTCATTAAAGTTATTGATTTTTATTTCATTCAGAGTTCATAATTTAAAGAAAGAGCCAACTTTAAATTTGAGGAGATACAAAGGAGAAAAGAAACTCACTTATTTGTTCTCCAGTTGAGATATCTAACATAAAAATAGCATAAGTGTTTTAAAAACTTTCACTGTTGTTATGCTATTTCCAAGATAGGCAGACCAGGAGGTATTATCCATAATTTACTATAACATAACAAAGCCTGGGAAATCATACATACATAACAAAGTTGGGAGATCAGTGATCAGTTACTCAAAGGTAGCTTGTCTTTCAAGCTTTTGTTTAAAAGATTATATCTGATATAAAGTGTATACTTCTACAAATGTGCATTTGTGCATGTATAATATAGATATATGCTTATATCAGACCAGAAAAGCTGTGGGTTGAATTAAGTGATTGAGTGACTTAGGTTCTTATAGTGTCGAGCCTCTACCATTTTATGACCTTTGGCAACCTAATTAAGCTCTCTGAGCAGAAGCCAAATTTATATAAAATGAAGGAATTAAACTAATAATTTCTACAGTAGTTTTTGTCTATTCAAGAGTATATTGAAGAATTTATGTATATCATATCCTGTTTGGCTATGCTTACTTGGAATACAGCCAAAACATTTTTGGATACAACTTAAACTAATAATCTCTATATGTGATAATAATAATAATAGTGAAGATTATAATATAATGATAAGCAATTGTGCCTTTTATTATTTCACATAAAACCAATATGAATATGTAACATTTAAAAATGGCAGAAACAGTTATCCAGATCAACTGGGAATCAAAAGCCAAACTGAACATACTTAATAGGAACTGTCTTTGGCTTAGTATAGGCCACCACCTTCAACATCACATTCTAAACAGGAAGTAGAATATTAGACTTATAGAAGGAGCATTTCAAAACTGCACTTCAAAGACCTACAGACTATAGAAGGGACAAATTTACTCAACTTTTTATAGATTAATTATTAAAGAAAGAAACTCATAAATGCTAGGGGTCTTACACAACTATGGCAGTGTCACTGCAGCACAAAGCATACAGTTCAGAGATTAGAGTGATACTACTGCATGGTCACCAGTAACCAGAAAATGAAATTGGAATGTATGTAGCTCACTCCAAATGCATACTTAGTATGAGGATAAGTAATAAGTAATCTTATCATGAAAATTCAGGCAGCTGCAAAATTAAATTATCATGTTTTCCTTAGGCCTTATATATTAGGTAAAAGGTAAAACTTTAATATAAGTTTCAAAACATTTCAAGTCAGTTTCTTTTACTGATGTTCACTATCCTGAGACTATAAGATGATATGATAATGAAGTATGAATAAATTCTGAAAACAGAGTAAGATAACTTACATTTGTACATTAGCATCTAGCAAATTACTTTTTAAGTTAAATGATGTGTAATGTTCTTTCTTCTTTAGAATAATCCTATGAAGTATAGATAATAAAATAATGCCCAATTAACATGCAAAGAATTTGAATTCAGAGATACTCTTTAGCTCAGGATTATCATGTAGTCAAAGGGCTGTAAGGCATGACTGAAACCCACCTATTACAGCTTCAAATTCAGCGCATTTTGTACCATACACAGGCTACTAGACTCAAAAAAAGTAGAAATAGGTTGCTGGAGCACAGTATTTTTAAAAATGTGTTAATTTATCTCCAGAGATAGAGAAACAAAATATTCACCTTATAGAAAAAGAAATAAACTCAGAGTATCTACATAAACTTGGATTTCTTAGCTATTTTACAGCTAGCAAAATCTATGAAAAAATCCAAATATTGTACAGACTTGATGACTAAATGTATCCTATACATTACACATTTTTATAAAAAATCTTTTATATTTAAATTTAGAATTTTTTTTTTTTTTTTTTTTTTTTTTGAGGCAGTCTCACTCTGTCTCCAAGGCTGGAGTGCAGTGCATACTTTCAACTCACTACAACCTTTGCCTCCTGGGTTCAAGTGATTCTCCTGCCTCAGACTCCTGAGTAGCTGGGACTAGAGGTGTGTGCAACCACGCCCAGTTAATTTTTGTATTTTTAGTAGAAAAACAGTTTCACCATGTTGGCCAGGCTGGTCTCGAACTCCTTACCTTGTGATCCACTTGCCTCTGCCTCCCAAAGTGCTGGGATTACAGGAGTGAGCCACCACAGCCGGCCTCAATTTAGAATTTCGGAACCTCTCCCTACCCTTCCAGAAATATAAAAATACCTGTGCTATGAAGATATTACCTTGAAGCTTATTTAATAAAATAAGTGAAATGATACTTACAAAAACTTTATCTCCAACTACATTTTCCAGATTTAACTGCCTTGTGATTTCCTTTAGGGCGATTTTATCATTGATCTGCAGCAGTCCTAAAAGTCCATTTAAAAGTATTTAATTAAAATGTCACATGTATTTGATGCACCAGGTTATTTTCCAGTTAAGTATATTTTCCCAGTCAAAGTCTGTTAGTTCACATCGATTTCCTTTTAAAACTTATCAGTAAAAACATTCTGTAGAGTTAAAAAACAATCCTTGGAATTAGAATGATTAAAGAAAAGAAAAGAAAAACCAGAGTCCTTCTGAGACTCCTTCATTATTATTACTTTAATTTCTAAAAATACTGTGTATGGTATGCTAAGTAGACGCTGTAAAACATGGATCTACTTTTCAAAATCTATTAAAATGGATTTGAAATATACAAGTCAATTTAGTTTAATCATATAAAACCCCCCACAATGTTTATATCATCTCCAATGGCAAAATGATGGCATACTTACCATTTAAGTGAACTTGTAATATATTTTCACTCACTTCTTCTATTTCCATGAGTTCTTTCAAAGCATGATTTATTAACTAAATATGAAAAAATTATGAAATAATAATAGGTAAAAGATAAAAAGAAGTCCATATTCCTTTTTAAACTACAAGTAGTGAGAACAGAATATAAATAAATTGACCTCTTTAATAAATAAGTTTTCAAATTCTTTACAGATAAAAGGTTTAACTAGAACATCTCTTATTTGACTCTCTTGAAGAAACAAAGGCCAGGACTGATACAGTATTTTCTGAATCAGCTACCCAAACTTTTAATAAAAATTTAGAAACAACCAAGTTCTAAAATAATTACTTGCCTACATGTCACATTAAACATGTGACATGGCCCTTATAAACTTATGTCTCAGTACATTATACATCTCTCTGACATTTACTCTACTAAATATAATCAGTTAAAAGCCTATTGCATTAAAGGTTTCTATGCAGCACACATTTTTTTTGTAACACTGTACTGCTCTTATACTGTGATATCATATATATCTCTTCATATTACCATTTGCATTTAAGAAAATGCCAAAAACCTTTCTAAAGAGTAAAAATGGACTGTTCTTTCCAATATTAAAATATAGGATACTATCAAAAACTAAATGAACTGGGAAAAGCAGTTTGTATATTAAAAAAAAAAATTAGTAGAGATGGCATCAAAACTTAGGACAAAAAGGATTACTCAGTGAAGGCACTGGGACAACTGGCAAACTATTTTCCAAAACAAAATACTATTTGTATTTGCAATATGCTACTTATTTGTCATTGCAACACCTTATCCAAAAGGAAAAAAGCAAATATGATCCTCATTTTAAATTATATAGGTTTCACAACAAGATATCAAAAATAAAAAATTTTCCTGGTTACCTGTATGTTTTTTTGTTTGTTTGTTTGTTTGTTTTTTCCAGGCAGTGCTGAAGAAAACCTGTATGGTTTTTAAAGCATAGGGAATTCTAGGTCCTCTTAAAAGGAGACAATCTCAAGATATCAACTTTCATACTACCAGTAATAGCTCAGCTGAGAAGTGACATTTAATGAGAAGTAACACTAAAGGACTGTACAGTGGTACTTCTTCACCTCTGGATCAGGTCAGACCCTATAATAAGAGTACATCCACAGATGAGAAAAAGTTGCTCCCTCAAAATACTGCTTTCAGCAAGTTTTTCTTAGCAATCCATGGTGTTTCCTTTCCTCCATCTCTTGATATTTTGCTTATATATTTTTTCCTTGGTTATGATTTTGTTTTAATTCATAAAATGTTTTATATTTTGATGAATCATTCAAAACCACTTCAAATCCTTTCCTAAAAGGAATGAGGATATTAATAATACCTCCATTTAATATATGTGTGAAGAGCGTTGTAATAGGTTTATAACTTTTTTTCCACTGACCTTAAACACCAACTTATGCTTTGCTTGGATCAGCCCACTAATATTTTATGGGGTGTGTGTATGGTTTGAAATGATAAATATATTAGCAAGTGAGTCTTCAAATAATATTTATTCTTTTAAAAAAAAAAAGAGAGAGAGAAAGAAAAAAAAGAATAAAAAAATAAAAGAAAAGAATAAAAAAGAGGAAGAAAGAGAAAGAGGAAGAGGGAGAGAGGACAGGGGTGTTGCTTTATTGCCCAGGCTAGAATGCAGTCTAAAAATGGGTATACTTATAATTGTGCTTAATAATGGAGACATGAAAAAAAAAATGAGGGAAGAAAATAACAAATAAGCAGCCAACCAATATTTCATTTAAACCTGTAAGTAGGTATGATGTGGTACTGATAAGAGTGTATATTTTGTGTATTTAAAGTGGAGAGTTCTATAAATGTTAATTAAGTTTACTTGCTCCAGATCTGAGTTCAAGTCCTGGATATCGTTGTTAATTTTCTGTCTCATTGATATGTCTAATATTAATGTTGAAGTCTCCCACTATTATCGTATGGAGTCCAAGTCTCTTGGATAATATTAGCTCTAATCTGGGTATTGCTAAAATTTACTATGTAACTAGTTAGGCAATCAACCATTTAAGTTAGCTTTTTTTCTTGAATATGTTATCATCGTTTCAAATATTTAAACTACATTATATACTAAAAATATTTTGTTGGTTATTAATGTTACAATGACCAACATAACCATCTCCTTTCCACATTCTTTGTTCCTAACATTAAATTTTACAAACATACCAGGATAATTTTCTTAGACCTCCCAGCATCCAGTAATTTTTATGCTCACAAACTATTATACAATTTTCAAATACTGTAATAAACATAGGATTCACCAATATGCAACTAGGAGGAATATTCTATTTAAGTATCTAGCAAATCTGTCTACAGTAAATTCCATGTAGAAGAACATTTTCTAAGGGTCAGGTTACAATGGCTCACACCTGTAATCTGAGTGCTTTGGGAGGCAGAGGCAGGAGGATTACCTAAGCCCAGGAGGTTGAGGCTAACAGTGAGCTATGATAGAGCCACCGTGCTCCAGCATGGGTGTCAGAGTGAGATCCTATCCCCTAAAAAAAAATTTTTTTTTCCATAAGGCTCAACCTGTCATTTGAAGCCATATCAATTTTTTTTTAAATAAAATCCTTATAATATTACAAGCCACACCTTCTATCTATAGTTTGAATTTATGTATTTCAGACTGTTTGGCCAGGTATAGTTTTTCAAATATACTATAATCTTGGGGTTAGGATTAGAGGTTAAAACAAACATAAGGCTACAGTCTTATGTTTTAAAATTTGAATTTATATAATTATATACTATGGCTAGGCACTGTGGCTCATGCCTATAATCCCAGCACTTTGAAAGGCCAAGGCAGGTTGATCACTTGAGCCCAGCAGTTCTAGACCAACCTGGACAACATGGTGAAACTCCATCTCTACTAAACATACAAAAATTAGCTGGGTGTGGTGGCACATGCCTGTCCCAGCTACTCGGGAGGCAGAGGTGGGAGGACTGCTTGAGCTCTGGGAGGCAGAGGTTGCTGTGAGCTGAGATCGTGCCACTGTACTCCAGCCTGGGCAACAAAGTGAGACCCTGTCTCAAAAAAAAAAAAAAAAAAAAAAAAAAAAAAAGAAAAGAAAAAAAAATTATTCTATTCTATTTGAGAGTTCTTTTCTAAAAATACACTATATCTGATAATTTATTCAATCCCTATTTTCTTTCAGGATACTCCCACACATACAACAAATTACAAAAGTAGCACAAGTCAAACAATGCTCCTCATCTCTTCAACCTGTCAATATTAGAGTACATCAGGAATACAAGAAACTGTATCAAAATGGAATGCCAGGCAATGGACTCTTCCAGATTCCACTGTAGTGAAACCAAATAAATGACTGCAAAGAGCCACAATATGGCTCTGGTTTAAGAAACAAAAAGTAGACAAACTGTCAGCATGGCCAAGAATAATCGATCCATTTTATTAACTGATAAATACTATGTCTTAATGCTTTTGCTTTTAAATTTCAGTACATTGATTAAACCTATAGGGGTTTATAAAAAGACACTGTAACACGGGAGGAAGGGAACAACAAGCAGATTAAAAAGATTAAGTGTAGATTTAAAAGATTAAGCACGATGGCTGATTAGAGACTTCTCGTGCTCATATCCCCCACAAGAAAGGACCACGGCAATGAATGAACAGCTAAGATTTGTCTGGCGTGTTGAAGGGAGAGTGCTGTAGTACAGCAGCGGAGTGGAAATGCATGAGTAGTGACTGAAAATCCAGGAGGGCAGTGTGTAGGTACCTGGCCTCTGCAGCGCCATCTCCTGAACCTGGATCAAATCTTCCCAAAATCAGAAGGGACTTCATGTTTCGAGGATAAGGTAAGCAGAGGAACCCTACCAGCCCTCACTGCTACCACAAACACCTACAGTCCTTACCACAGAAGAATCCCACAGTCCTAGCAAGCCCTGAGTCAAGTTGGAGAGCTGCTGGAATTCAAGCAGTTGCATTGCTCCAGATCATGAAAATAAGGTGTGCACTCTCCATCCCTCACCCACCTATAGACCAACGGGCTGCAGCATGGCACCATTGAGGCCAGAGCTACCTCTGCTGTGTGCCTTGCTCTGCAGGCCAGTAGCCACTGCACCTTTCCAGTACTAGGGCTCCATCTTCATTCCATCAAACCCACACAGGTGGCTGAATGCCACAACTCTAGCTGCATGGAGCTGAGCCTAAAATTGGCTATGACTCTGGTCCTACACAGCAGGGGTAGGGCCTAACTCTGGTCCTAACCTGGGCCCTTACTGCCACACTTTTAGTCAGAGGGCCAGTCTGGCAGTCCCACCCAGGGCAAACTCTCACTTGAGCTGACCAAACCACTGTGTGGATCTCGCCCACGAAGGAGAGGTCCCTGAGCATCCAAGCAGCTGACCTATCCCTTGGGCTTGTAGAGCAGCTATGTATCCACACTCAAGAACCTGAGAAACAGCCCCACAATACAGTGTACCCCTCCCTCCTGCAGACACACCCCTGGCTTGCCCAACGGTCCTGCATCTACAATCAGGGCCTGAAAATAGCCCAGAAGGTTATCCCTGGCAGGCATGCCCTCAGCCCAGCTAAGCAGCCATGAGCCATGACTTGTACCTGAGAAACAGCACTATGGGCAACCCATGGTGAATACACACCTTGCACAGGGAGGCCAAGCATCCCTGTGAACACAGACTGGGTCTGAGAAGTAGCCCTCCGGGCCATTCTTGAGCCTGCCAAGCAGACCAGCCAAGCAATCATGTGCCCATGCCCCTAACCTGAGAAGTACACTCGCCAACTGCCAGTAGCAGACACATACCCTAGCTGGCTGGGCAGCGTTACACCTTAGGCCTACAAATCATCCCTGAGGATTGCCTCTGGCAGACACTCTTTTGGGCCAGCTGAGCAGCCCTGCACCTACTTCCCAGGTCTACAAAACAGCCCAGTGGGCCATATGCTGCTGAAAAGTTCCTAGGCCAGCCAAGCAGCAGTGTCACAGGCCTGAGAAACAGCCTCACAGGCCGCCCCTAGTGGGCATGCCCATAAGCCAGCTGAATAGCCTTG